GGCTTTGAATGTTTTCACGAGAGGGTTTGGCCATCTGATCAGCCCCCCTGTTTTCTCCAAACCGAACTAACATCCTCCCACTTTAGATATTTCCCCACGGTCTAGTGAGACACCTGCTTTGCGCTTACGCTTGTTTGCGATTGATTTGTTGACCGCAGCATTGACTGCATAGTGAACCCACCGTCTTCGGTACGCATTGGCTGTTCCTCCCTTGAGATGATATGCTTGCTAACGTGTTGTTGGAAATTAGAGAACTATGTACATGGTAGCTACCTCCCCGCCCGATATCGGCCTTGGCTACTCCTATATACTCATTCTCTCGCCAACAGACATCTTCGTCGACAATGTACATATGGAACTGTCGCTCTGGGATACCGCCGGCCAGGAAGAGTTCGACCGACTGCGCGCGCTATCGTACGAGGATACGCATGTGATCATGCTCTGCTTTAGCGTAAGGAGGACCGATGCGAACGGCTCTGTGTTGCGGTTTTGACCCCGTACTAGGTCGACAGTCGCGATTCGTTCGAGAACGTGGCCAGCAAATGGATCGAGGAAATCTCCGAGAACTGCCCCAGCGTGAAGCTGGTCCTCACGGCACTGAAATGTGACCTGAGAAAGGACGAGTTCCTGAACGACAACCCCAACGCCATCGCCTACGAAGAGGGCCTTGCGAAGGCCAAAGAGATTGGTGCCGTCAAATACCTGGGTACGGAGTCTTTTTGTTTTGTGCGCCCCTGCGGCGGTTCATGCCTTGCTGACATATGACCTGCAGAATGCTCCGCCGTGCAGAACCGTGGCATCATGGAGACTTTCTACGAAGCAGCCAAGGTGGCCCTGGAAGTGAAAACTCAGGGGTCGAACGGCTCCGGGGATCGGTGTATCATTCTGTAGACCTGCTGGGTCTCGGTCGCTCTTTGCTTTTTTCTGCTCTATTATTATACCCGTTCTCAATATTCCCCTCTATGGTTCGACAAAAACCGACCTGGATCAGTTGCCCTGGATACGTGCCTGCAGTTCGGGAGGATCTTGCTTGAACCTTCGAAAGACCTTGTTTCGCCGCAAATTCAGCCTGTTGTACTTTGCATTTGATCGCCCTATGTCTGTTTTCCCTATATATACTTCTTTTTCTCTCTGTCACATCGTCCTCATATTAATCGTGTACACTTACTGTCATGATTGCGTGACCCCCGAAGCTTTTTGTTCCGGAAAGCATGCAAGAGATGTTCAAGGCAGATACCTACATCATTATATCTATATCATCCATCGTCCTAAGCATAGATCGAGAAAACAACCTATGAGTACGAGTATTAATACCGTGTCTAATCTAAGATCCCTTGGATAACTCCCCAACCCAAGGCCATACCCCATGGTTACTTTTTATTTGATTTATTCCCTCAACAAATCCTCCTCCGCAACAGTATACACCTCCTCAATCCCCTCCCCCTTCCCTTTCCCGCCCTGGACCGCAAAATCCCGATTCACGCGCCGCACAAACGCCTCGACAAACCGGCCCGCCACCGTCGGGATGTCCGTCCGCACCCCGACGCCCGCCAGGCTCGTCGCCTCGCGGCCCTCCAGCCCACACGCCACGATCTGCCGGAACCACCACATGGGCTCCTGGGTGACATTGAACCCGATCCCGAAGCTACTGATATTCCGCCGCAGATGCACCCCGACCGCCGTGATCTTGTGGGGTAGCTGTGCGTCATCGGTGCCGGTGTTGTGCCGCTGTTGACCGGGCAGCGGCGCAGGGGGATGCACCCACACACCCGGATCCTCCGTCACCAAGCCCCGCATCCCGTACGAGGCCAGCACGTCGATCACGCTGTTCTCCAGCAACCGGATGTGGCAGCGCGGGGTCAGCCCCAGGCGCCGCAGGTCGAGGATCGTGTACGCGACCATTTGGCCCGGGCCGTGGTAGGTCGTCTGGCCGCCGCGGAGGGTGGGGTGGTATTCTGCTTTCTCGGGCGAGCCCGGCGATCTCGGGAAGGATGAGGGGGTGGGGTAGGGCGTTGGCGGGATGAGGAGGGGGCGGATTTGTTCGAGGGGTGGAGGGAGGGAAAGGGAGAGCGTGTTTTGGGGTTGGGGTTCTTTTGTGCTGGAGGGTGCAGCGGTGGTCGTGTCGCGCGGACTGGTGTTCGAGGGCGGGAGGTCGCGGCGGCCGGTCGTGTAGACCGGGTGCGGGGTGAAGGTGATGATTGTTGGGTCGGGGGGCGGGGGCGGGGGCGTGGTGGTGTCGTTCGCCGAGGAGAGCAGTTTCTTGTGTGTGAGGAGGCGCGTGGTCAGGGTTTGTTGGAGGTGGGAGATGCGCGTGAAGGAGGTTAGGTCCGGGTAGTGGATGTGGGCGAGGCGCATTTTGGATTTTGCTTTGGGGGATGATGGTGTGTGGGTTTGACGGTTGGGTGTATGTTGTTTAGAGGGTGTAGGAGGAGTTGTTCATAGCATTGGTGGTTGGGGAGAAGGGCAATTGGCTTGTCATTAAGGGCTTTCAAAGTTGGAGAAGAGGAGCTGGAGATGATGGTTTGCGCGGGCGGAGAAGATTCGAGCGGATGGATGGATGGACGTCACCGCGGGAAACTAGGTTTAGGACGGAGTCGGTGGGAGAGTTAACTTTGCCGCCGCTTGCTGGCCGGAAGATCATGTGATGGCAGCTACCTTATTTTAGAGATGACCGCCTCGATTGAGATCTCTGGACATGTTGGTTTTCATAATACGCAGATATAGTCACTAGACTTTTGGACATATGTTCCTCCAAGCCACTGATATGGACAAGATATGGGTTGGACAGAGTAGACAATGCGGGATTTGAATTGGTGAGAACGAACATTGAGAAAAAAAGGACTGCAACTCGAAATCATGCAGGCGCAACTCCATTGACCAAGGTCTCCTGCGACTCGCCCTCACGAACCAACTGCCAATCACGCACCCCTCCCTTCCAGTCCGCAATACGTCCCTCCCGCACCTGCACAGTCACTACCCGCACGTCACTGTCAATCGAGATGCTCGGCCTTCTGGCTCCCGGCTGTTGTTGGAGCTGCTGTCCGAACGTGCCGATCTCCTCCTCGAAAGTGTTGTTCTCCAAGTGCTGTGTCTTGCACCATTCCTCCTCCTCCGAACCGGGCTCCAGGACCCGGGCAGTACCGGCAATTGTCGTGGAGATGCTCGACAGCGCACTCGTGTTCAAGTTCAGCAGTAGGCTAGCCAAGGATGAGCGGGTGGCTGCGGGTGGCGGAGAGCCTTCTCGGTCACCCCCGGGGTTGGATGCGCGCGTAGGAGGACGGTGGGAGACCCAGTCGTGGACCAGAAGGGAGACACGAGGATTTGTCAGAATCTGGTTGGTCTTGCGAGACGATGGGTTGGTGGTCATGATAATCGTGGGGTATGGGTCGAACGGAGTGGACGGTAGGTAGGTGTATGACATGAGGGAGATGTGGGGGGTCATGCCATCGGTGGTTGCAAGATGAAGCTAGTGAGGGATTAGAGAGTAACCCGTGAGTCTGAGCAAACAGCTAGCAAGGACTTACAAAGCGCGAGTTCTTGAGGCTGGAGACCACCTCCGTAGGCAAGGTGCTGGCGACATGCGGGTGGCAGGTCGAGGCGGACGCCTCGTACGACAGGGGAGGGTTGTTGGGGTCTGCCATGGTGGTGATTGTAGATGTAACTTATTCCGAAGCCCTGCCTGTATTGTATGTGATACGTGACTCTCAGTATAAACTGTAAACCGATCAAGAGCAGCTGAGAATGGAGGAGCGCAAGTGGAGGGGCTGCGGAAGCCAGAGCAGCTCACTATCACTAATCCAGATTGGGGATGAGCGGTTGAGCGCGGATCACCAGGCGGGCCGAGTCGATTACCTAACACCCGTTGCTTGTCTGGCAACGCTCGCTTGCCGTCGACGTCATTGAGATCGAGCTCTGTTTTCGGTGCTTAGTGCTTATGGAGATTGTGACAGGGGCAAAATAGCTCAAGACTAGTACTCATATGAGTAGTACTGCTAGGTGCTTTGGACAAGATGATGAAGTTTTACCCGTCAAGACTGATAGGACAGAAGGAGCTCGAGGAGCCACTTGTTTCGTCATGGTGGTCTCAACCATTGAGCAGTAATACTCGTTGTTGGACTGAAGATCGCGGCAGAGTCCAGACGGTGACGAATCATCCGCAATTCTTCCGTTATCAGGAGAGCTGCTTTACTAGATCCTTTTCGGCAGGATGAGCGGATGCAGGGCCTAGGATCACTCGGTCATATGGATTACTTCACTGGAGGCCAAGATTGGTGGTAATCATATAAGAACAGGTGATGACTGGCAATAATACCCAAGTAATCACCCACGGTTAGCACTACTGGCCGATTTCCCCGCACTTTGCTCCGTAACTAGTAGTGACGGTCGACTTTCCCCAGCTTCCAAAAACACCTACGGTACTTCGGGGCACCTCGCAGCTCTCAGCTCACCCTCCGCTCTTCTTCTTCTTCTTCTTCTTCTTCTTCACCTCCTCTTCCACATCCACGCCTCTTACCTTTTCAACCAGTGTCATTTGATCCCTCACCACCACCATCACCACCACCACCTACCCCGTCCCAATTCTACCAACCAGTATCTTCCTGATCCCCAGGATTAATTCTACTCCGCTCCCGCCGCGGCCAATTCCACCAGTTCCTCTTTGCTGCTAATCCTGGCCTCCAACGCTTGCTACCCGACTGGTTCTCAGCGATACTTCCTGCCGTGCTCCTTCCTCTCAGCCATTGGGTCAGGTCACTAAGTTGTCGCGTGCTGGCCTCGATATATCCCTGTCCCCTTGTGTCTCAGCCTCTGTGTCTTTCCCCTCCCTACTTATTAAACCCCTCTCCTACAATCCTTCCCTGTTGCTTTCACTGCTCTGTGCTTGGGTTGATCATACGGTTGACCCTTCCTTTGCCAGCGTCTTTTCACCCACCATTGTTTTCTATTTGTTTCCAGTTGAATTCCTAGCCTTTGGGCAGCTGCTTGTTGTAAAAGCATAAGCCATGTTCGCACAACGCGTGGTTCGTCCAGCTTCGGTGCTGGCTCGCCCCTTCAGTTCCTCTGTTGCTGCCTTCCGTGCCCCTTCCATCCGTGATCTCACCCCCGACTCGGCTGCTGAGTTTAACGCACGGCAAAAGGAGTTTCGCGAGAACCTTGAGGTGTCTCGCAAGAAGAGAGAACAGCAAGAGAGTCAGTCTGTCGATGCTTCTGCTTCTTCCTCTGCATCATCCCCTTCAATTCGTGACCGCTTCCGTGAGTACGCTACCGCTCCCACTGCTCCGCTCGAGAGCAATGGAAGCTGTAACAACAGCCCCGACCTTGAAGCTGCAGACGTACCTGTTGGGAAGGCATTGGGCTCACTCTCTACTTATCATAAACTAGAAGACGAACAGCTGCTGGAATCTAGCCAGTCTCCGAAACGCGGTCCGCTGTCGTCGCTCATCTACGGAACGAAGGAAGGCCAGCAGCTCGACAAGGACATCGAACGGTCGTTCTCGCAAGTGCTCGCCCGAGGCAAATACGTCCATTCCATTGTCTTCCACGATGTCAAGCCCGACAAAGTCGATGAATATGTCAACCTCGTTGGCCAGTGGTATCCTCGCATGGCGACCGAGCCCGAGAACAGGGTCAACCTAGTCGGAAGTTGGCGTACCCAAGTCGGCGACAACGACACTTTTGGTAATTATAATAGCCGACGTTCTTAGTGATGCTGGTCCCAGTCTGCGTACTAACAGCTCGATTGAAGTCCACATCTGGGAATACCAGCGATACGAAGGTTACCACGCATCCTTGCACAATATCGCCTCTCATCCCGAGTTCGAAGCCTTTGACCGGAAGCTGAAGAGCTTGATCAAGAGCAAGAAGACGTCACTCATGCAGGAGTTTTCCTTCTGGCCCACAACCCCTCCCCGACGCCTCGGTGGCTTGTTCGAACTTCGCTCATATACTCTTCACCCTGGGAATCTCTTGGAGTGGGAGACACATTGGCGTCGCGGCCTCACCGCCCGTCGTGAGGTCATGGAGGGAGTCGGTGCTTGGTTCGTGCAGATCGGAGACTTGAACACAGTGCACCATCTCTGGCAATTTGCCAACCTGGAGGAGCGGAAGATTCGCCGCGAACAGTCCTGGGGCATTGAAGGCTGGGCGGAGACCGTGCACAAGACCGTCCCATTGATCCAGAGCATGCAGAGCCGGATCTTGATCCCGATGCCGTGGAGCCCTGTCGGCTAAAGAGATTGGGTAGGCTGCGGGGAAGAAGGATCGGTGATCACAAGACAGAACCGTCCGAGCGAACTAGCCAAGCATGCAGAACCGCCCAGGTTGCGGGCTTCCGTTGCAATCCATGCACCATGTATCAGGACAGGGCAAGAGGGCGAGGATCCAAACCGCCAGTGAGCGGTTCGACAGAAGGAGCGTGGGGCAACCCAGCTTTGTCCTTTCTTCCACGAATCCTGGAACTGAGGGAGTTCTTGACCTCGTTGGTCTTTATCTACACATTCTTTTAACCAGCCGCTGTGCCCACGGTGTATCGTGTCAAAATTAGCAAATATTGAAACTGTGTTCTTTGTTCCCTCTTTGTTCCTGTTTCAATTACCTCTTCTACCTTTTCTACGTATCTTGTAGTCAAATTATTGTCGAGATAGCCTAAACGCTTTAGGGTCAAAGATGGGCCCAATATCAAGTCGCGGCCCATGGTCCCGCTTTATTGTGCTAGCCGAGCTAGCGTAACTGAGTCCATCCCCGCTCTGTACGCGACCGAGTCACGGTGTCGAGTTGGGTGTCAAATGTTACCTCGGGTCGAATGGCGAGAGGGAATACTGGTGGTATTTGCCAACCCCACTTCGGGGGGACTTTGGTCATTTCGGTTGACGACGATCTAAGCCCCGGACGGCACAAGGAAGAATGCTATAATAAGTGATGCATGGTGCTTTATCCTAGTGAAGTCATATCAAACCATTGAACCAGCAAATCAAAGGTACAGCTGCACGTGCGCCACTTCGCCAAGGGATCGAATCTTTCGACGATGTGCGGTGAGGTTCTTTCTCTGCGAGTCTGCAGCCCTAGAGAAGTGTAACTACAGTCCGTAGAAGGAAGTGTTGAATGTTGACTGGCTGTCCTCCCCGCCTTTGCATCAAGCATCTTTCCCGCCGGCAGAAAAAAAAAGAGGGTCGTTGGGAAATCAAAACAACCAAGGAAAAATTCATGGTTGAAAAGCGAACAACATCATCGTTTGCTTTTTATTCTTCTTCCTTCTTCGGCACCTCCCTTTGTCTTAGCCTTTCCTCTTCCTTTTCTTTTCTTTTATCATTTTATCTTTCATCTTCAAATCGACTTCCGATCCTTTTCGAAGTTGACTCCTATTCTGACGTCCTCTCTCCCTTCCTACTTCCGGGACATCTGGACATTCTGACATCAATCTTAATTTGCCGCCTAGTAGGCTACCTTTTCCGCGCGTGAAGAATAACAAGGACAAAACATATCCGGGCCTTTCGCATTCTGCACTTGATTCATCGGACGTACCGTATCGATTCTTGTAGTTCGAAGGGATAAACTCCGGCTTGCATTACAATCGCCCGCACTGCCAGGCAAGATGGTGTACATACGCCAGCACGAACTGCCCGCTCTGCGGCAGTATCGCTATGCAGGAGTGGACCACTCGCTCGTCAGTCGTTATATCCTGAAGCCCTTTTACAATGATTTTGTCATTAAGTTCTTTCCGATGAGCATGGCGTAAGTAGTTGTTCGCTGTTCTCACCGGCTGCATGCCTCTTGCTAACGACCTCTTCCCACGGCCTTAGTCCTAATGCTGTAAGTTATCTGGCCTGATCGTTCTGCAGCCGGAACGAGACATAATAACGGAGGACCGGCAGATTACCTTGACCGGCTTCTTCTTCGTGGTAGTCAACTTCATCACCATCCTATGGTACAACCCGACCCTAGACCAGGACTGTCCTTCCTGGGTCTATGCCAGTTGCGCCCTCGGGTTGTTCCTCTATCAGACGTTCGACGGTGTAGATGGCATCCAAGCGTATGAAAAAGCCCCTCGCGCCCTTCTTTCTACTGGTAGACAGGACACTAAATGGAACCACGCAGGCGGCGAACGAAGCAAAGCGGCCCTCTGGGGGAGCTGTTTGATCACAGTAAGTTGGAAGATCTAGGGCTGTATGAAACCGAGTATAGAACCTAAGTGCTTTTTCCTAGGCGTCGATGCTTGCAACACCGCCTTGGGAGTCCTGATCTTCTGTGCGGCTATGAACCTCGGCCAGTCATGGGCTACAATCCTGACTCTTTTTGGATGTATGTGCTTTACTCCAGGGGGGAGTGAGCCGCTGAGAGGCTGACACGGTAGCAGCGACCATGACCTTCTATGTCCAGACCTGGGACGAGTACTACACCCAGGTACTGACCCTAGGAATCATCTCCGGCCCCGTTGAGGGTGTTCTCACTCTCTGCGTTGTGTTTGGGTTTACAGCATACATGGGTGGGGGTAGCTTCTGGCACCAGCCCATGCTGGAGACCATCGGACTCCCCAAGCCAGACTTCCTGCCGGACCAGCTCTACGGAATGGCCTTTACGCAGTGGTACATGGTCTATGGTGCGGTTCTCCTCTTCTTCGCCACCGGTTCCAGCATCGTGCATGTCATGAAGATTCGCAGCGAGCGTGGCCAAGACCCCATCAAGCCTCTCTTCGGCCTCCTTCCGCTGGTGGCTGTGTGGACCTTTGTTCCGGCCTACCTCTATCTCCAGCCGACCATCCTGAAAAACTACGCCATCCCGTTCTGTTTGTACGTTGGCCTGGTCAACGCGTATGCGGTGGGCAGGATGATCATCGCGCATTTGACCAAAACCAGTTTCCCATACTTCAACATGCTCCTGGTGCCTCTCGCACTGGCTACAATCGACAGTGTTGGCGACAAGTACGGGGTCTGGTCGAGCTTGCTTGGTGGTGAGGTTGGCCAGGCCGCTTTCCTGTGGGTGTGTTTGGGTCTGTCGATTGGTGTGTATGGTAGTTTCGTGGTGAGTATTGACAATCCCTCCAGTGGGCGGAAGGGCGCTGATCGTATCCAGCATGATATCATCACGACGATATGTGACTACGTCGACATCTGGTGCTTGACTATCAAGCATCCACAACCGCGTGTGGAGGTGGTTATCACAAACGGAGCCCCGAAGAAAACGAACTAGAGTATCGCATGTTGGTGTCGCATGACGGAAGTAATATCGCGATGGAGGAGTGCCTTGCGGTGTATGATAGAGACGGTGGTATGCGAGCGTTAGGTGGCGAAGTCAACTTAGTATGCATGGAGGTGCGCCATTGGATAATGATGTCGTGAGTATTGTGCCGGGGGTGGATGTGTCGGGTACATGTCGCCCGGATGAATCATTGTTTAGTCATGAGTCGAGAGTCAAGCAGCGTATATAATTCATATTAGCGGAATCTTTCAGCCGCATCCAATACATCGATATGCATCTGTATACATAGAAGCTGAGAATGACCGAAGGACCTTGAAGGATATGGTAGGATCTCGAAAGCTGAGCTAAGCGCGAGTCGATTGGCGGAGAGGGCGGGCGGCACGGGGTGAACAGACGGGCCGGGCCCCCCAGCTGCCTGAAGCGGCAGGGTAAGCGAGAGGGTTGCAACCCTATTTTGCCCCCAAACGGGCTGGCTGGGTGACGCCGTCGAGAATTCCCTTCAATCCTCGCCCTCTCTACGAGTCCACCTTTTTGCTTTCACCCTCAAGCAGGCCATCATCATCAGCGCCCTCATTCAACCTCCCTCGCTGATCGACTTTTTTGTCTCGTCAAGATGGTAGGTCCTTATCAATCCTAAAGCCCTCTCGATACAACACGCAACACATCCCCACGTCCAGCATGCACACCGGCTGCACCGACTGTCATGTCGCTATCCCCTCAGTGCCTTTTAACGTCGCCGCCGCCACCTTATCGCCGAACCATCGAAATTTTTTGCTCGAACGGACTTGGTCAAAAAATACCTTCGCTAACAGGATGATACATCAATAGGTTCTCGCGGTCGACCTCCTCAACCCCACGCCTCAGGCTGAGGCCCGCAAGCACAAGCTCAAGGTATGCTGATACCCGGATGGAAATGGAAAAAATAATGGATTTGATATTCCGACCTCGAACTATTGGCTAAGACATTCGGCGAAACAACAGCAACTTGTGCCTGCTCCCCGCTCCTTCTTCATGGACGTCAAGTGCCCCGGCTGCTTCACCATCACCACCGTCTTCTCCCACGCCCAGACTGTCGTCGTCTGCGCCGGTTGCTCCACCGTCCTGTGCCAGCCCACCGGTGGTAAGGCCCGTCTCACTGAGGGCTGCTCTTTCCGCCGCAAGTAAATGTATCGATAATCGCGCGCAATAAAAACCTCCCGTGGTCGGAGCGATGATGAAAGCAATGTGGCGTTCTTCGATGATGATGGATTAATATATCTCGTTTTTTCTTTGAAGGAAAGCAAGATTTCAGATAGAAGATGGAATCCTCGCCCCCCTTTTTTGTGCGAGAAGCAGTCCCCCCCGCAGAGAACCCTCCCTTGTCCAAGGGAAATGAAAAAAAAGACAATTTTTGACCAGCCATACCCATTTCTTTTTTTTCCATACTTCAGAAAACAAAAGCAATTCTTCGGTTTTATCACTTTTGCTTTTCTTCCCTATTCTCTGTTCACGTTCAAAAGAGGGGCGTTCCGGATATCTGGCAACTACGAATCAAAGAGACACTACAGTTTGACAACCATGATTCGGTCCTCGAGAGAGACAAATTCCTTCTCCAGTTTCTATTGCCATTTATCTGAATTCCTTCTTCGACTTGATTGTTTGATATTTCCATGTACCCACGTTGATTCTATTGACGGATGTACATCGCCAATTCTTCACAAAACCAACAATCCGGAGCACGACGTGCAGTACCACCGCCACGATTGCACGAGCTATGCCGGGATGCCACAGGGACTGGGGACGATTATGGAAGTGGATTGATGGTCAGCAGCAGATGCGACCCGGGAATACGACACTTGGCACTCAGCATTCGACATCTCTCTCGTGACGGAACAATCGTTGGTTCGGGAATCAAGACCTGAAGAGGCTTTTTATCCCAAGGTGGTACTGTATCTCTTTCTCCGTGCGGGTAGCAATCGTATGTTTTGTTCATGGTCTTTTACACTCGTAGTCTAGGCATGATGTTTCCTGCCCCAGTATGATAAGACCATTGTAACGGCTCCACTCAACACCCCGCAGTAGTGTAGACACTAGGCAAGAGTATCCGGGGATGGGTCTGGAAGTTGGTCTTGTGCTCGGGACTAGTGAGTACATTGTGTATCTTGTATGAATGACGTACTTCCTCTAGGACAATGAACCACTTACTCTTGTCTGTCCACAGTAACTTCTGACATCCCCCAGTTTCAAAGGTGACTCAATAAGGTCAACTCGGATGAACATCAGGTCAGACTCAGGAGGGTAAGACATCCATGATCCTTATCGAACCTTCTCCGCATTCTAACCTCACGAGGCTGTGTTAGCGGATCTCTTGTTCGGGTCTAGCGTGTGACGACAATGGTAAAGCGCATAATTGCCCGCTTGGCGTTCCGCTTATCGATAAGGTCAGTCCGGGATGCTGGAAGTATGAATATGTAGAGAGAAGATGTTTTACTTCATCGGCTTTGTCTCGCCTTCCAACCTTATACTTATTGTGCTTCTGGGTTGGGCTTACATGCTATCATCATCGAGAGTAATGCTGATCTTCATATGCGGTCCAGTACATACGATGCAATAGAGAAGCATGAAATCTTACCAGTGATAGTGCCTCGTCACTTATCTCATACCCGCCAAGTCTGAGACAGATGTACAGTACCGCGAACATTAGCCCTCACAAAGGAAGACACCCACCATGATGAACCTTCTTTAAGACATATCTGAGACTTAGTATCTGCAGTATGTTGATCTCAATGGCCGTCAGTCCCTATGTGGCTCTTTTCTGTGGCTCTTAGACTAAGACCGGAGCGCAGAGTGGCTATGCTGTCAGTCAGCTCGCGCGGCTGATCAGGCTGCCCTGACTTCTTCCTCCACCCATTCTGTTCCTCCATCTGGAGCCATGTCACTTTCTATCTATCGGCTATCATGTCTAGCCCGAGAGCTTATACGGTTGGCTGGATCTGCGCCATCTCTGTTCAGGAAGATAGAAGTCATCTCACCACAGACTAGGATTTAGAACTGAGTTGCAGAAGATGGGTCTATGATAAACTCCTGTTTTGGATCCCACCATTGGACTAGTCCGCATAGCAAAACGATAATTTCGGAAGACGGACCACTAACATTGATCGTGGTTGTGGGGCTCAAATGCCTTTCTATGCTGGAAAGATACACCAAATCAGACATTATACTGTCCCGGGATAGGAAGACAGTCTTCGCGTGCGCTGTCATTGAGCATCTTCAGCAGAAATCTGAAGGTGTGGATGCAGGAGTAGCATATATATGTTGCGCCTATAATGAGCGCCATACAGTGAGTGACTTGGTTGCTTGTCTGCCCTTGGGATATTTACTGAAAGACTTGTCAGACACGTGTAGGTTCTTGCATGCTCAATTCCACGCGAGCTACCTCGCAACGAAGCATAACGTGCGAAGTCTTCGTGAAGCCCTGAGAGATCTTCCAAAAAGCTCGGGAGCGATATACCAGGAGGCGATGGGAAAGTTGAAGAGTCAAAATCCGGAGGCCGTTCGTTTAGCCGAGAAAATGCTACTCTGGATCGTCAATGCATCGCGGCCGCTTCGTGTCAAGGAACTTCAGCATCTGTTGGCCGTGCGAGAAGGGGACCTCAATATCGATGATAATGCACTTACTGCACCCACGTACATCCTCTCGATATGCGCCGGCTTAGTAACCATCGATGAAAGAGGCAGCATTTGTCGCCTAGTTCATTATACGGTGCAGGAGTTTCTCAGAGAGAACCGAGCTAGGTCTTTCCCCTGGGGTCATCTTGGAATGGCGTCTATTTTTCGCCTGCAGTATCCGTCCTTCGACTCCTTTGGAGCCGGACCTTGCCCTTCTTTCGACAAGCTGCGCCGGCGGCGGAAATTTTATGTGCTTTTCGATTCGCTGCAAAAGACCTCGGCAAGCATATGTTTGGGGGTACATCACAGAAGAATGGTAGATTTGGTACTCAGGCCTTTCCAGAACAAAGGTACAGTGGCTAGCATCGCGCAGACTCTATTCGTTGAACAACGTGGAGTCGGCGTGCCTGACTTCCCCGGCGACTTCCTGGGCATACACTACGCATCATACCTCGGGCTTACAGACGGTGGATCGATTCGGAGACACGCCACTGTCTTTGGCAGCAGGAAGGAGGATCTTAAGCTGTAGTCAGTATACTCTTGCTACGCTGTCAACCTAGGTAGTTCGTTATTATGTCATTGCATTGAAAAATGAGAAGATGATAATTAAAGACCTTGTGATGACCTTATCTGCATAGTGTTAGCAGTCAATAGGGAGCGGTGGCCGTCGTCGCATCTTCGGCAGAACTGTAGTACAGCGGGACAAAACTCGGCGCTGAGAGTGGTTTTTTTCATACCGCCTCCGAGGGAGCCGGCAGAATTATACAGACCACGGGGGAAAGTCGGCCGTCGAAAACTGTTCAACTTGTTACCGCCTTGTGGTGGCAGAATTCCTACCACGGGAGAAATTCGCTCGATGAAAATGGTTTCTTTCATACCGCCTCCGCCAGAGCGGCAGAATCACTACCACGGGTGAAACTCAGCCGCTGAAACTGTTCAATTGGTCACCGCCCCCCAAAAAAGCGGCAGAAATCCAATGGCACCGCCGGGCTCTTATCTTATCGCCGCCATCCTTCTCTACTCTGACTCCGCAACACTGAGTAACTCACTTAATCAAAGGCATTTGTCTCTCTTTTCTTCATCCTTTTACTATATCCCTCCCTCTCTCGGAGACTCCAAACTTCCACTGATGCGCCTCCGGAGCCTCTCTTCCAACCCTCCCATCTAAAGTTGCAAAAATGCCACCCCCAGGAACTCCCCTCAAACTCCTCTGCCTGCACGGCTACACGCAATCGGGCCCCCTCTTCCACGCCAAAACCCGCGCCGTGATCAAGCACCTCACCAAAGCCCTCAGCCCAACCTACACCGTGACGACGAGCTACCCGACCGGCCCGCACCGCCTTTTAGCGTCCGACATCCCGGGGTACGAGCCCCCGACCACCCAAGGCGGGATCGCGTCCACCGACGAGGTCGAAGATCCCGAGGCCTACGGCTGGTTCCGCCGCTCCAACACCGCCAACCCCCCTCTGTACTCGGGATTGGAGGAAGGCCTCACCACGCTGGCGCAGGTTATCCGGGACGAGGGCCCCTTCGACGCGGTGGTGGGGTTCTCGCAGGGCGCCGCGATGGCGGCCATGGTGGCGTCATTGCTGGAGACCGGGCGGTTGACGGTATTTGAGGGGTTCGAGGATCCCGAGACTGCGTGCAGGGGCACGGAGTGGAGTGGGGTGGAGGGGTTTAAGGTGCCCGAGGCGTTGAGGGCGGTGCTGGCGGATGGTAGTAGTGGTGCCGGGGAAAATGGTGGCGGGAACAGGCAAGAAAAGCAGGGCCCGTTGAAGTTCGCGGTGTGCTACAGTGGGTTCCGCGCGCCGGGGCCGCGGTATCGCGCGTTCTATGAGCCCGGGATCAAGACGCCCGTCTTGCATGTGCTGGGCACCTTGGATGCCGTGGTGGATGAGGGGCGGAGTCGCGCGTTGGTCGAGGCGTGTCTGGGGGATCCGGAGGTTGAGGGCAGGGTCGTGTTCCATCCTGGCGGGCATTTTGTGCCGAGTCAGAGGCCGTATTTGGATGCGGTGGTTCGGTTTATTCGGGAGGTTTTGGAGGCCGAGGAAGGAGGCAAGAAGAAGGGGGTCATGGATGAGGATGTTAATGATATGGAGTTGCCGTTTTGAGTTTGTATACGGGGCTAGATAGATAGATGTTGTTTGTGTATAGAGAGAGACAGTGTGTGTGAGACTACTATAGATAATCGTCATACCATTCCTAATCCTCTAACGTCGGGTTTCTCGTTGTACATCGTTTCCCTCTATTTCAACGAGCCTTGCCCTTCTCGCCCCGAGTGGGAAGGATCCGAGCCATCATCTCCTCCTTGGTGATCAGGTGATCAATCCGCTCCAACAGTCCCAGCAGACTCTTCATGTCGCTGCTCCATTCGTTCAGCACGTCGTCCGCGTCGCGCGGCTTTGAGAAGTTGACCAGCCGCGCGGGACGGTCGATCTTGGCGTAGATCGTCTTGGACGTCACCAGCTCGCTGATGTACTTCTCCGTCTCGTCCTCTGCCAGGTCCAGCAGCTCCGTCAACCGGCCCATCTGGATGCGCGTGTAGTACTTGGCCACCACCCGCACGTTGTGTTCGATCACCCGCTTGCGGAGATCCTGCCACCGCCGGTGGGCCTGGTCTTCCGCCGACTGGCTCGGCTGCGCCTTGAAGACGTCGGTCTGGCACAGGTGCGGGCCGAACTGCTCCGCCACCATCGGCCAGCGCATCAGCTCGTGGATGGTGAAGAGCTTCACCAGGCGGGCCTCGACGGGCACCGACGACAGGCGCGAGTCCTGCTGGATCCGGTGCAGGAGGTCCGACTGTTCGTTGTCGTAGGGCGAAAGGACGATGTAATACACGATGCGAGCAAGAACCTGGAGAAACACCGTTAGCAGGGACCACCCAAAGGATGTAAGAGGTCAAAAACGTACCGCGTGAAGCTGCTCGGGGTTGTTCTGAACCGAGTCCGTATCCAACACCTCACGGTAGTGCTTGCACACGTCCAGGTATTTGTAGTCGTGGTTGGCGAGGATGATCTGTTGTTCGTAGTAGCGCAGCTTCAGGTCGGTCACATCGTCGTCCACCTCCATCGGCGGCTCATCGGGCTGGCGGGTCTTCTCCCGCTCCTCGGCCTCTTTCTTCAGCTTCTCGATCTCCTCGGCGCTCTTCTTCGGCTTGCGGGCGAAGTACCGCTTGTTGATCTTGCGGCTGAGGATCGTGGCCTGCGTCCAGTCACCCCGCTCTATGCACAGGGCCACTTGCTCCAGGATGAACTCTGTCTTTTCTCTTCGGCTCATCGAACCGAACGTCTCTACCTGCAGCTCGCAGAGGATATCGGCGGCCGCCTGGAGGTCGCCTTGGGTCTTCTTGATGTTGGAGAGGATACGGGTGACACGGGCGCGCTCGACTTCGACGAAGATCTAGTGCGGCAAGGCGGCAGTTAGCGAGCGGACCTGGCTTGATTTGAGCGCAGGATGGTGTGCGACTGACCTTTCCCTCGGTCACCGTCCGCAGCGTGGAGATGACTGAGAGCTTGACCTCCAGGTTGGGGGTCTCGTCCAGGAATTCCATCACCACCTGTACCATCTTCGTTATAGCTTGTTTGAGCTGACCATGCTTCTTCGAGAGCAGCAGTACTTGGTCGTTCAGGAGGGTCCAGTCGCCGGAGTCCTTGCTGATTGTGACGATTGTAACGATGATTCGGGATGTGGTGGCCAGATCGGAAGCCTGGAGATGGGCTAGTTAGACGCGGACTTGTCGCCGGACGGGGGCAAGGAGGGTCGCACCTGTCTGGCCTGCTTCTCCAACACCAGAAGCTTGTCAATGGCACCTTGCACATCAGTCTATAGATAGTCAGCATTTTGTGAGCTTCAAGATTGCTAGTGCGCCGACCTTGGCAAGCTGCTCTGCCTCGGGGATTAGCTTGTCAGCATCCTTGGAGAAGTCCTTCTCCGGCTTCAACAAGGTTTCGGACATGGTGACGAGGCGTCACTGTAAGTAAAGAGATTGTAGATCTGAAGAAAGGGGTATCTAAGGAGTGTTGGGTATGATCACTCAAAGAGGACGTGGAAATGGGCGAGAAGATGGGGATGGGGGGATATGATGAAGGCGGATTGTTCGAAGCATGGATGGACGGGCTTCGGAGCTCTGACGTGCAGCTCCCAGTTGCATCACGTGACCGAACAGTGTCCAGCAACCTCCATTTGAACACTATGGATGGTGTTGTTTACAGCTGCTACTGTCCTCTCATGAACAATGTGATTTTCGCCAAATTGATCTCTTGTGTCCTCATTTTGACTTTTATTTTTTATTCTTATGAATGTCACCAGTAAGATGAATGGCACGCATTATATGTGGTTGGCTATCTCCGGTCTCCTCACTCAGCAACTGGACAATCAGAACCCTGTTATCCGACCTCTTTCCCAAGACTTACTGCCTGAGGCCGTGAACTTCATGGATCAATATCTTTTCAGACTCCACCAACTGGTCATGCCCAGGCCTACCCAATCCGGTAACTCAGAGTGAGCCGACCGCTTATCTAAGCCAGATTCCCGAGCACGCAATCACGCAATATGAGGTTAACCGCATTGGGCGACGAATCTATAAAATCCTCAGGGACAAATGACTGCGACGCCGCGGACATTTTGTGTTTTTCTGTTGTGATTCATATCGCAGATAGCCTTATCGACCATACTTTGCTGGCAATTGGGAGAAGTCGCAGTGCTTATCTTCAGGTTGTCACTAGTCATCCGCTGCGTCGAACATTTCCGCGGAGGTGCACTCTCTACCCTCTCGGAATCCATAAATTGAATCGACCATCCTGAGTCACAGGTTTCAAGAGTGTATCCGAAGAAATCACGTCGTTTACCCGGTGCTCAGGTTTCTCAACTACTGATCGGAGAAGAGAGAAGTTGGAAAGATACGCCACCCATTATAGCCTGCATTGTCCGCAGTGGCGACTTAATCATCATGCGGGATGCATCAAATACCAGCTCCCCCGCGCCGTTGTTGACGGCGGTCAACGTCGAGTCGCAGGTGCATTTGATCATTGGAGCCAACCCGCTGGCTGCCGCTCGATGTGCGAAGAGCGTTGAGGCCGGCGCAAAGCCCATCCTGATTACCCCCGAACCGCAGGAGGGGCTGCAATATACGCTTCTTGAGCGGATCGAGAGTGGTTCCGTGCAGTGGGTTCGCCGGGATTTTCAAGACAATGACCTGACCAGCCTGGGGAGGGAAGAAGTCGACCGCGTGGTTGACACAGTCTTTGTTACCCTGGGCGGAAGTGACCCGCGCAGCGCACACATCTCCAAGCTCTGTCGACGGCTTCGGATCCCGGTGAATGTGTCCGATGCTCCCGAGCTCTGCACATTTACGCTCCTATCCACATATTCTGATGGGCCCCTACACATTGGCATCACGACGTCGGGACGCGGGTGTAAACTGGCGTCTCGGCTGCGGCGAGAGATCTCGTCTTCGCTGCCATCGAATCTCGGAAGCGCCATTAACAGACTGGGCGCCGTGAGGAAGCGGCTCTGGGCTGAAGACCACGCAGCCGGACTGTGTGACACGGCACTCGAGGGTGACGAGGACGACTCCACCGGTCAGCGCCATACATTCAACACCCTAGTAACCGAGGACGACATTTCCGCCGCCAAAACTCGACGCGTGCGCTGGCTCTCGCAGATTTGCGAGTACTGGCCCCTCCGCAAGCTCGCCGCCATCACGGATGCCGATATCGAGACCATCCTTGAGGCCTATTCAGCTGGCAAAGACCAACCCACCAACAGCAGCCAGAATGAGTCGAGCAGTCTGGCCCGACGAGGAAAGATTGTCTTGGCTGGTTCCGGCCCCGGCCACCCGGACCTCCTTACCCGGGCCACTTACAACGCCATCCAAAATGCCGACCTCATCCTTGCCGACAAACTCGTCCCTGCTCCGGTCCTGGAGTTAATCCCGCGCCGGACGGAGGTGCATATCGCGCGCAAGTTTCCCGGCAATGCGGATCAGGCGCAAGAGGAGTTCCTGCAGATGGGACTGGAGGCGCTCCGCCGGGGCCGGCACGTCCTCCGTCTCAAGCAAGGAGACCCCTATCTGTATGGGCGGGGCGGCGAGGAATTCGAGTTCTTCCGCGGCCAAGGCTACGCGCCGATTGTGCTGCCGGGCATCACCAGTGCTCTGAGCGCGCCGCTCTTCGCAGAGATCCCGGCCACCCACCGCGGAGTATCGGACCAGGTGCTGGTGTGTACGGGTACAGGTCGCAAGGGCGCCGCGCCCGCTCCGCCGACGTACGTGCCAACCCAGACGGTGGTGTTTCTGATGGCGCTGCACCGGTTGTCAGCGTTGGTGGAGTCGTTGACCACGGTGCCAGCGGCGAGTGATGACAAAGATGAGTCGTCGCAGCCAACGCGGACGCCCTGGCCGAAGGAGACGCCCTGTGCGATCATTGAGCGGGCTTCGTGTACGGATCAGCGGGTGATCCGGTCCACATTGGAGCATGTCAGTGCTGCATTCGAGGCGGAGGGGTCCAGGCCCCCTGGGCTGTTGGTTGTGGGAGCCAGTTGCTATGTTCTGCATCCGGCGCAGGGACAGAAGTGGGTGGTTGAGGAAGGTTTCCGGAGCTTGGATGAGTTGTGTTTGGAGATGGGTGGTGGTGCTGGCATTGATCAGAGCCAGTGATAATCGTGTTGTATGTTGTTATGTTTGCTGCATAGATACCCATAGATAATGTGTATGAATGAAACCCCGATGCGGGGATGATAGACCGATGGTTCACCACTGAAGATATGCCTCGTATCGACTTCCAACTTTCCAGTAGCACTCAATCTAATTCCCGAAATGGTCGGTCTCCGGGGGAGAACCCCCGGACCCCCCTTTCTTTCAGTTTCCCAGAAAAGCTCATCTATAGTAAGTATTGAACAGCTCGGAGGAAGATATCGACATGATACACAAGATGTCCATGAATCTTGGGTACAAAACAATTAAAACCACTGTTATTCACAAAACCATATGCAGAACAATCAACCTATATAGCATATCATCTATACCAGTTCACTAACTCAGGCACCTACCAACCTACCCAATAGCCTCCACAGCAAGCTTCCTCGTCGCCAGCAGCTTCGCAATCTTCTCCCTCTGCGCATTCATCTGCCCCAACTTGGCCCGTTGAATCTTCCCCGTTGCCGTCCTGGGAATCTCGCTCACAAACACCACCCCCCCATCCAGCGCCTTATACCTCGCCAGCCGGCCCGCGACAAAGTCATAGACATCCTCAACCGTGATTTTAGATGATGCCGGTGATTTCCTCACCACGAACGCCCTGGGCACTTCCGTCCCACTGCCATCACCTGCCTGCACCCCGAGTACAGCCGCGTCGTCGATGCCGGGGTGCTGAACCAGCACATCTTCAATCTCCGCAGGGGCGACAGAATACCTGCACACTCACACTCACACTTGTTAGCACCCAGCCCCAATTGCATACCTTCTTCCGACGCCATGAAAAAGACAAGAGTAAAGAGAGAAACCTCACCCCCGAACCTTGATAATCTCCTTCACCCTCCCAAACAAATAATACAGCCCCTGCTTCCGAAACACCATATCCCCCGTCCGAAACCAGCCCCCTTCTTCCTTGTCATCATTACTATCTGAAGTACGATTCTTATACCCCAGGAATATCCCCGGCCCACGGACCCACATCTCCCCGGCCCTCCCGTCCTCCTCAATAACGGCCCCGTGGTCCCTGGGATCAACAAGCCTCACCTCGACCCCGTCCCCGCGCACGCGGCCAATGCTCGCTTTGTCGTGGATGGTATCCGTGGCCGGCGACAGAAACACGAGGCCGGTCTCGGTCATGCCCCAGTTCTGGGTGACGATGGCGGAGGGGTGGGTGAGCAGGGATTGCAGCCGGTCGAGGGCGGGGACGTCGATTGGGGCGGCGGAGACGAGGCAGTAGCGGAGGGAGGCGAGTTTGGGCTCTATGGGGAGGGTGGTCTGGGTCAGGATGTGCACCATGGCCGGGACGAGGTAGGTGTTGGTGATCTGGTGGGTGTGGATGGCTTGCAGGAAGGCGTGGATCTCGAAGCGCGGCAGGCTGTAGACGGGCGAGCCGTAGCGGACCGGGAAGATGTGCGTCCACACCGCGCCGTAGAGGTGGTGCATTGGGATGGCGATTAGGCGGCTTGTTGTTGGGTTTGGGGTGGGGTAGTGGCTGCTGAGGTGGTGCGTGATCATGTTGGCGTGCGAGAGGATCGCGGCTTTGGGGAGACCGCTGGTCCCGCTGGTGCAGAACATCGAGGCGGGCGTGGTGTGTGCCTGGGTTGCGGTGAGGGGGGTCCAGGGGCTGGTGCCGTGGGTTAGGAGGGTGGTTAGCGGGATGGGTTGGGGGGTCGTGGGGGTGATCGGTGGCTTTTCTGGGGTGAGGGTGTCGGGGCTGTGGAGGAAGCTCAGGATGGTGTCCTCGGAGAAGACGCAGACTTGGTTCGCTGCGATGCCTCGCGCTGAGGTGACTTCGAGCACGGTGGCGAGGGTTGCGCTGGTGGTGATGATCAGCTTGGGTTCGCCTGCCTTGACCACGTTGTCCAGTTCAAGCGGTGGACTGTCGGGTCCGGCGCCGATGTAGACATTCCCTGCTCCGAGGATGCTGAAGAATAGGGCTGAGTGGGCGAACTGGCGGAGTGGTCTGGCTGTCAGTCATGGATACAGGCAGTTGTGAGGACAGGGACAGGTCGATTGGTACTATACTCACGCTGTTGCCCAGGTGAACCAAGACCGCTTCCCCGGGCTCAACATGGCGTTTCAATCCGGCCACCAGGGTCTGCACGAGATGCTTGAGTTGATAAGCATTCAGACTGCGCGAGGCATCTCGAGCGTCAATGTATAGAGGTCGGGTCTGGTCGTACTCGACCGGACCGTTGAATGCGAAAGACACTACATCCATGTTTGCATTGATACTGACTGAGTATGCTGGAAGGAATGCATGTGCAATGACTGACTGCTTTAAAGCCCTCGATATCTCTATTGTCGCTTGCATCCTGAAAGCTCGGCTATTCAGCCTTGGGCTTACTCGAGACCAATTGGGGTATCCGCCCCCGAGTCAAAGAATGGGCTGCTGCAGAAGTCAGACGCATTGTCTATGAGATTGAGAAGAAAAAGCAAAAAAAAAAAAAAAGATACCCTCACCCCAACCGTTATCTGTCACACCAATCGAGGCAGACTCGTGCTGCTTGGTGGCTGAAGGTATTTGGAAGGATGGGGAATGGAAGCAAGTATACTAGGGCTGTACGCAGCCAGCCACTGTCACTTACCCCCTCTTCCCCCACTGCTTGGTCTGGCTATTGTTTGCTACTACCTAAGTCTACCAAGTCTACTAATTCTACTAACCAAGTAGATCGTTCGCAAGTTGTTACTTCAATCATCATTAGCAAACGCTTCCAGACCATGCTACTGGACAACCCCCGCCGGACAATAGGCAATGGACAGTGCGATTCAGCTTATTCCAGAAGGAAAGCAATTCCATCCTGAGCTGACGCTACGTCATTCGTCAGAAGGATTGCGTCCCTTTTGCAAGATCTCGTATTATCAGCTTGGCTTATAGTTCTATGTCTTCCTCGTGTTGGCGTTGGTGTCGGAACTATTTCCCCAATCAGCCCGGCTGATTGGAAACTTGGAAGAAGTAAGACACAAGAGGCAGGACTCAGCCTTCCTTTCCACGCGATGGTGCGAGGGGTTCCTTGGACTTTGGCGTCGGGGACTGACTCGAGGGCAACCCCGCCAATGGTGAGGGGAGGAGGAAGTAATCCCGTTCGTGCTAAGGCTGCCACTAATTTAGTACAGTGCATGTACTGGATTGGAATCTTCTGCACCTGGATGGTCATCGCTCACTCATTAGTTACTCACTTCCGAGGTAACTAACAATGCACAGTGGTACTGTGCGTCCTCGCAACCGATAGGCGTCCAGCTTGCATCTTCCCTTGGTTTCAGCTATGATCTCCTCGCCCCCACTCAAAACGAGGCTGTTCATGTTCATTGCTTGGAGAATGATGACCCGTTTGGTAGCCAGAATCCTCGAGATACTTACAAGCGAGATGGATATACTTTCCGCGATAGCCTGCTGCTGTGTGCATGTTACAGACCAGGAGGGCATCTTGTATCGATTGGTTGATAGAAGGAAGGCCAGACAGACAGACTTAAAGAAGGTCGTGAACATGCACTTAACTCCAAGCTGAAGAACCGACTCTGTCTTGAGTATAATACTTCGTTCTTTTCTTCTTTCCATTCTCTTGGTGTGAGACCAAGTGGTGTGTATTTGTGTACTTGCTACCTCTATAAGGTAGGCCCGCGGCTACAGTCATGCCTTCCTTTCCCGAACCGATTGCCATTATTGGCACGGGCTACCGCTTCCCAGGCTCAACTTCTTCCCCTTCCAAGCTCTGGGACCTTCTTCGCTCTCCTCGCAACCTCGCTTCTAAGACCCCTAGCAATCGCTTCAACCACGATGCATTCTATCACCCAGAGATTCACCACGGCACGGGAATTGCCCCGGAATCCTACTTCCTGTCCGAGAACATCCAGCAGTTCGATGCTTCTTTCTTTAACATCTCCCCCACCGAAGCCGAGGCCATGGATCCTCAGCAACGACTACTGCTGGAGGTAGTCTACGAGTCCCTGGAGCGCGCAGGTCTACGCATAGAGACTCTGCAGGACTCGGACATGGGCGTCTTCTGCGGCCTGATGAACACAGATTACAGCAATATTATCACGAACGACTGGGACGATATCCCGACCTACACTTCCACTGGCGGGGCTGCTTCTATGCTGTCTAACCGCATTTCCTTCTTCTTCGACTGGCATGGCCCCTCAATCACCATCGATACCGCTTGTTCGTCGAGTCTGGTTGCCATGCATCAGGCGGTGGATGCGTTGCGGAAGGGCGATTGCCCTGTCGCCGTCGTGGCGGCGAGTAACCTGATCCTCAGCCCGCGGGAGTATATTGCTGCCTCCAAGTTGCGGTTGCTGTCACCGACTGGTCGATGTCGAATGTGGGATCGGGATGCCGATGGATATGCCCGGGGAGAGGGTATTGCCGCGGTGGTTTTGAAGCGGTTGAGCGATTCAATACGGGACGGTGATCCCGTAGAATGTATCGTGCGTGCGACGGGGGTCAACGCGGATGGCCGCAGTATGAGTCTGACCATGCCCTCGTGGACGGCCCAGTCGAGGCTGATTCAGTCGACCTATGCCAGCGCTGGCCTGGACCCTAAGAGTCGTCCGGAGGATCGGTGTCAGTACTTCGAGGCCCATGGGACTGGGACCCAGGCTGGCGATCCCCAGGAGGCAACGGCGATATACGATGCCCTGTTCGAGGAGAGATCCCGGCCGCAGAACCCGCTGTATGTGGGCTCTATCAAGACGGTCATCGGTCACACCGAGAGTGTGGCGGGTCTAGCCGGCATTATCAAGGCATCCCTCTGCGTCCAGCATGGTGTCATCCCCCCTAACATGCACTTCGATCGCATCAACGCCAGCATCGCACCCTACACTACCCATCTGCGAGTGCCAACTGAAACGGTACCGTGGCCTACTCTGGCTCCCGGCGTTCCGCGGCGAGTCTCGGTCAACTCTTTCGGATTCGGCGGTACAAATGCACATCTCATTCTTGAGAGCTATGCGGCTCCGATGCCATATCTGCCAAAGACACTTTTACCCCCATTATTGCCACTCGTCTTCTCCGCAGCCACAGAGAAGTCTTTGACACACCTACTTCACCGATACATTGAATACTTACGACAACGCCCTGACCCCGACCTCATTACCTTGGCAGAGTCGTTGATGCATCACCGATCTCTTATGAGCCATCGTCTCACCCTGACAGCATCCTCACTGGACGATCTTGAGACCAAGCTCCAGACAGAGCTTCAACATCGTAGCTCAGTTGAAACTACCACCAAGCACCGAGCGATTTCCAAGGGAGTTGTTGGAATATTCACCGGCCAGGGCGCACAGTACCCGCAGATGTTCTGGGACCTCATATCTCGAAGTTCGCAAGCCCTAAAATGGATGGAAGAGCTGCAAGAATCCCTAGTCTCCCTTCCGCCACAATATCGCCCTGATTTCTTGCTAACACAAGAACTCTCGGCCCCCAAAGATACCTCTCGGATCCATGAGGCACGAGTATCGCAAACCCTACGAGCTGCCATTCAGATTATTCAGGTCAATTTGCTCCGCGTGTTGGGAGTAGTCTTTTCTGCTGTTGTTGGACATTCCTCCGGTGAAATCGCTGCAGCATACGCAGCTGGCGTAGTCTCAGCATCGGATGCAATTAGGTTGGCATATTTGCGAGGCTGGGCAACCCACCAAAGCATGAGTAGGGGTGGACAGCCGGGGGCAATGCTAGCGGGGGCGATGTCCTGGAAGGATGCAGTTTTCCTCTGTGAAGATGGTGGATTCAGCGGTCGAATTGTGGTGGCGGCCAGCAACTCTCCCACGAGTGTGACTTTTTCAGGTGATGCGGATGCGGTGCAGGACCTGGAATGGATCTTGCAGAGCTTGAACATCAGAGCACGTTCTTTAAAGGTCGATACGGCGTATCATTCTCCCCATATGGTGCCTTGTGCTGAGTCTTATCTCTGTGCTGTGAGAGCCTGCGATATCAAGTATCGACCGCCCAATGTGCCATGGTACTCCAGTGTATACCATGCAAAGAGCCTTGAGAGGCACGATGTGTGCCATGAATACTGGGCAGAAAATATGCTTCGTCCTGTTCTGTTTTGCGAGGCTGTTCAAGCTGTGCTTTCTGACCTTGCGAGTTCGAACATGATGGTTGAGGTCGGCCCGCATCCAATGCTCAAAGGTCCGGTCTTGCAGACCCTGTCTGACTTTCAGCAAAGTGATACCAAGCTGTCGTCTTATGTCGGTCTGGCTCATCGGGACAGCGGTAGCTTTGACTCTATTGCCAACGCTATCGCACTCTTCTGGGATCATCAATTACCAGGTCTCGAGACTCAAAAACTTATCAGGCTGTTCGACCTTGATCATGACTGCCACTTCTTGAAAGATCTACCAACCTACCCTTTCGATCATACGAATTCTTACTGGGCTATGTCTCGCTTGACCAACGCCCGTCTGCACCGTGCTGACCCACCACATTATCTGCTGGGGGCACTTAGTCCTGAGACCACAGAGAATGAATGGCGATGGCGGAACTTTCTCAGTCGGACAGAGCTGGCATGGTTGAATGATCATAGAGTGCAGTCTCAGGCTATCTTTCCTGCCACAGGCTACATTGTCATGATGCTCGAGGCGGCCCTCATAATGACTCAGGGACAGTGTTTGCGCTTGTTCGAGATCGATGAAATGCACATCAAGCGCGCCATTAACATTCCAGACGACCCCCAAGGTGTTGAAGTTATCTTCAAGGCCGAGCAGGAGTCCATGAGAGATCATGAAATTCTAGGCACGTTTACCTGTTATGCCAATATTGGGGGAATTTTGAAGGTCTGCGCTTCGGGGAGAACCACGCTTTCCCTGGGTGAAACAGACGCAATGGCGCTACCTCCACGACGGATGCCAACGCCTTTCACAAGACCGGCGGACATCGACAGCTTCTATGCCGGCTTGGAGAAGTTCGGTCTGGACTACCGTGGTGCATTTCGAGGCCTCAAAGCTGTTGCCCGCCAATCGAATGGGTCGACAGGTGTCGTCTCCTGCAATAACACATCATCGTCAACGCTGCATCCAGCAGCCATGGATTCTAGTCTTCATGGTATGCTGGCTGCTGTAAAGCTACAGACACCAAGTGTGCCCGTACACATAGAGCATATTGTCATGAACCCATTACTCTGCCGAGCAGAATCGTTGAACGAAACCCAGGATCTGATGGTTGATACTGCGCTTCTTGAGGACACGGTCGACGGAGCGAAAGCGGATATTCACACTTATAATAGTGAGGGTCAAGGCGTCTTTCTTATCGAAGGCTTTCAGGTCGCTCCACTCGCCGTCCCTGATGATCGCAATATCTTCTCTGAGATTGTCTGGGGACCGCTTGTGCCTCATTCTGTGCCAAGAAAGACTGGTGCCAATCCAGAGACCGAATCAAACTTGTATTGCGCGGAGCAGTGTGCTCTATTATACATAAAGGACGCCTGGGAGACGCTGACAGCACTGGAGTATGCGCGTATGGATCCGTACCGTGCAAGTGTGATAAAGTGGATGGAAAGGGTCTTGCAGATGACTCGTGATGGCACTCATCCTATTTATCAGCCTGAGTGGTTGGATGACACCATCGACGAAGTGCTAGAGATCGCAGATGAGACAAGTCCGGGTTGGCACAATTTGCGGGTAGCTGGAGAGAGTTTGTCCAGCATGCTGCAGGGAGTCTTCGGCCCCTTACCGCTCTGCCACGACAATGATGACTTTGAACCTAGAAGGCTGTATCTGGATCCTTTTGAAAGCGACCCTAGCAGCTCTGAGCTTGCAACCTTTGTCGGACAGCTGGTCTTCCGCTTTCCTCAAGCGAAAATCCTAGGGCTCAATGCAGGGAGTGGATTAACGGCAAAATCCGTTCTCAATAAGATTGGCAGCTCTTACCAATCATACACCATCACTGACACATCAGCGATTCGGCTCTCAGAGGCATATGAGACGTTCGCCGGCGACAATAACACCAAACTGATCTTGCAACGACTTGATGTTGAAGAGAGCTTGCTTGAACAAGGCTTTGAGAATGAGAGATATGATATAATTATTGCTGCTAACTCTCTGTCCCAATCACAGAGGCTTCGTGAGACTATGGTGAATATCCGGCGCTTGCTCAAACCTGGTGGTTATCTAGTTGCGCGGGAAGGAACTAACCTCGATATCAGTCGTGTTATGCTGGCAAATTGTGGCACTGCAAAGTGGTGGCAAGATGACGACAGCGTTCGCCAGTGGAGTCCAATTTTAAGTATCCAGCATTGGGAGAAGCTGCTTCAGCAGACTGGTTTTGGTGGTTTTGAAGCAGTCTCACCTGCCAGTGAACTTGTGTTCAATTCGACATTTGTCTCGCAAGCTACCGATGAGGCAATCATGCTTCAGCGTAATCCATGGACGTTCTCAGGCCGCCTTGACAACGATGTTTGGATTGTTGGGGGTGCAACAAACGCGACTGCGAGTCTTGTATCAGGGCTCGAGGCGCTTCTGGCTCGCTTTTTCTCTCGTGTGGTCATTGCATCGACACTAGAGGTGCTGGATCAGCAAGACCTATCCAAATCACACGTCCTAGTCTTGACGGATCTCGATTGTCCTTGCTATAAAGTCTTCACAGAAGAGCGTCTGGGTGGACTCAAGGCGCTAATGAACCATGCCAGCAGGCTTCTCTGGATAACTGCCGGACACGAGAGCCAAGATCCATACTGGGCGATGGCTAAAGGCATTATGAACTGCGTTGCATACGAGAACCCGCAGCTACTCTGTCAATATCTGAATGTTCCTGATCGAGCTGAGATTACTGCACCGGGACTGGCTACGATCTTCTTGCGACTGTCTCATACCACTGGAGACAATGACTTCACGTTGTCAGATCGTGTGCATAGCATTGAGCCGGAGCTAAGGCTCGTCAATGGCACGTTGCAGATTCCGCGATTTAATCTTAGCGACGCACTGAATAATCGGTACATAGCTGGTCGGCGCAGACTGAACGGGTATGCCAATTTGCATCAATCAGTGGTGCATATCATTCCACCTTCAAATCGGCGTCGAGAATTTGTTTTGTCTGAAAGAGCAGGCAGCAAGGGTGACGACTGTCGAGGTACCTCTCATCAGCGCTGGCTTGATGCGAGCTACTCCACATTGAACGCTTATCATGTGGAAGGTGCTGGATATCTCTACTTGGTGATAGGCCGCGATACGAGTGACCGAACACGTTGGTTTGCCCTATCGTCGCAGCAAGCTTCATTGATCTCTGTGCCTCTAAGTTATTGCTTTCAGATGCCGGAGCATCTCCCTGAAGCTGTGGAGCCCACATTTCTAAATAGGATGGCTGCAGCAATTATGGCCATTAGTGTACTGAGCTCTGGAATACCTAATATGTCAGTACTGATTCATGGGCTCGAATCGATGAGCAGATTGAAACAGGAAGCGTTCACGGCTCTGAGTGCAGTGCGACAGATGCAAGTCTATTTCAGTACTAGCGATTTTGTGATCTCACCGGAAAAGCACTCGTTGTTCATTCACAACAACGAATCAGTGCGCTCTCTCGCACGCATTTTACCTTCTGACCTGTCTGTCATTGCTGAGCTTGAAGAAGGCAAGCTTAACTTGTTCTCTCGAATTGCAGCGATTGTCTCAGAGGATGTTGCTCAAGTCAAGCTGACCAACGTATGTCGAAGGTCTTCAAGCATCACGAGGCTTAGCAATCCAGTCGCTGTGAGCCAGACGTTCCTGAGCGCATGTGGGTTTGCTTTGCAGACAATGGAGGCAGACAAAGCGACTGATCTAATTTCTCTTCGTGACATCCACGGCATGCATACGGATCTTTCCCGTCAAGCAGTCGTGGATTGGACTGTGCATGATAAAATCCCAGTCGAAATTCAGACGGCAAGTTCGGCGGTAAGTTTATCACCAGACAAAACATATCTCCTTGTTGGAATGACTGGAAGTCTGGGCCAATCGGTCTGTCGATGGATGGTTCATCGAGGTGCGCGGTGTGTTGTCATGAGCAGCAGATTCCCCAAGATTGATCCTCTGTGGATTGGGGAGATGGCGAGTTTGGGGGCTCGCGTAGTTCCATTTACAATGTCAGTTTTCTTCAACAATCTCGCTGATAGCTACTGACCAGATATTCTAGGGACGTCACGAGTCGCGTATCAGTGACTTCTGCATACGATACACTCTCTGCCCAGCTACCACCAATAGGGGGAGTCATTAATGGTGCAATGATCCTTAAGGACCAAATGTTCGCCAATATCAATTTTTCAGATTTCCAGTCAGTACTTAGCCCCAAGGTGCAAGGAAGCCTTCTTCTTGATGAGATATTCGGTCACCTTGATTTGGACTTCTTCATCCTCTTTGGGTCAGCCGCCGGACCGATGGGCAACATCGGCCAGGCGGCCTACTCAGCAGCTACCCACTTCATGTCTGCGCTTATCCAGCGGCGACGCAAGCAGAATCGAGTGGGAAGTATCATCCACCCGACATCGATTGAGGGAGTGGGCTATCTTGCCCGCGCAGATTCTGCTTTGTATGACATCCTTCAGAAAACAATGGGCAGTAGCAGCTCACAAATGTCTGAAAATGATCTGCATGAACTTATGGCGGAGGCAATTCTTGCGGGGCGGGTTGAAGCGGGCAGAAACGCAGATATCATTGCGGGGTTCGAGCTTGTGGATGCCGCCAAAAATTCTGACGCAATATGGTTCCGGAATCCAAGAGCGTGGGGCTTCATTGATCGAAGTGGACGCCCCTCTAGTGGAGCATGCGTCCGTAAGGACACTGTGGAGATGAAAGTACAGTTGACGGAAGCAAATAGCATCGATGACGCGATACAGATAATCACCACGGGCTTCATTGAGGAGGTTCGTTCGAGGCTGCGTCTCCCCGATGAGGAGTCCGTGACTCCTGGTAACGTGTTGAGCGAGATGGGGGTGGACTCGTTGATGGCCATTGGGTTGCGGCAATGGTTTGTGAAGGAGGTCGGGGTTGAACTCCCGATGCTACGATTTCTGGGCGGGTCGTCTATAGGGGAGCTGGCTGGTGTTGCTGCGGTACGACTTGCTGAAGACGGTGTCTTCAAGGGTGAAGATATTGATTTGGATAAGGGTGATGCGGTTTTGACGTCGCAGACGGAGGAAGAGGCGAGTCTGGTTGAATGGAGATCCTCTGAGTCCGGACTCAGCCTATCCTTGTGATGGGTTTGGAGCTTATAGTCTTGTCGTAACCCTCGATGCATGATGTACAGTACATAGTATTTCACGCAATTGGTTGTGGATTTGCCTTGTGCTGTCTAGCACCGTTCTAATGGCATAATATCACGCTGAGCATAGTACCGCCCATTATAAGTAAGAGTAGAGATCCTTAACCACCGCAACACCTAATATACACAATGCCCTAATTCCACAACAAGAAACCTTCAGACACCCCCTTCCCACCTCACAGCATGCTTGATCTCCGCCCCCTCCATAAACTCCTTAATCCTCACAAACTCCTTAAAGCCCTCCGTCTCCGCAAACGCAAAATGCCTCTCAACAGCCTCCCACCCACTGAACAGAACAAACTCCGCTGTCCCCTCGTCGGTGTCTGCATTCCCCCCATCCTCCCCTTCACCCCTAGCAACCCACCCGCCCACCAGCGAATACGGGGTCGTAAACGCCTCAAGATGGGCTTTGCTCGCCTCAAACGTCCGCTGGAATTCGGCGCGTTGGCCGCGTCGGATGAAATACCGACCTATCGCGAGGACGGGGGCGGTCTGTGGGAGGGTTTGGGCCGGGAGATCGAGATCGATCCTGTGGGTGGATTTGTGGGTGATACCGATTGTAGCTTGGGTGTGGTGGTGGTGGGAAGTTTGGTGGTGGGGTCCTCATGGAGGAGGTAGATGTTGTTTGGGTCTTCGAGTTGGATGTAGATGTTGATGTTGATTGTTTGGGGGTGGGCGTGAAGAGGGAGGGATTTTAGGAGTGTGGTTGAGGTTGTGGCTGGAGGGAGGGGAGTGGAGAGGTGTAGCTGGGTTAGGTTTATGGTTGGCATTTTGGGGGGGGGGGGGATTGTAGTGTGAGTTGGGTATGGTATGGGTATGGGTATTGATGAGAGAGAGGGTGGGAGGGGGAATTGGGGGCTTTTATGCTAAGTATTTGCGTTTCAAGTTGAGAGGATGAAGTACTAAAACTGAGGTAGTATAGGATCCATCAGGCTAAATCAAGTATGGTGGGTCTCATACTTTTAAGCTGAGTTGAGCTGACTGACTGAGCTGGAGGATGATACCAATTTCCTAGTTGGGTTGCGCTATACTCCCAGCAACTCTTCATAAGAACTAAAAACTATGGAATCATAACTAACTTAGGCCGTGGATAGTGACTCAGCAGGACCATAAATAGCCTCCCCACTCCCGGCATAATCCCCCACTAAGCCCAATCGAGCGAATCCCTACCCCTGCAGTGCGAAATGGAACGATGATGGCAACTTCATCTGACGCCATACTGCAACTTTCCCTTCATCAACATCAACCTCAACCTCAACCTCAACCTTAAGCAAGCCTACGATCCCCCAAATAAACCATGGCGCCCGAACCCCGAACCTACGTGTCCGGCGGCCGCGTCCTCGGAAGGTAACCACCACGATATCCCATGCCATGCCATGCCATGCCAGAGCCCGAAGCACCAAGCACCGTGCTAATCTCCGTCCCCTCCGTCTAGCCCCCCACTCTCCGTCCGAGTCAGTCGGTTCTTCGAGAGTGTGTATGTGTTCCTGGGTCTGTATCTCGTGAGCTTGTTCTCGGTGAGTCATACATTCTCCTCTTGGTTATGGGTCTGCGTCTCGTGTGGTTAGGTGGTTGTGAGGGTTGCTTGCTGCCTTTCCGCTGCTATTTATGCAGACTTGTGTTGTGGCGTTGGGATTAACTGATATTCATGGGTTTTGCGAAATATAGCTCGATCCCTACGCCGCGGCGCAGAATTCGCAGTTCAATATCCATCGGAAGGGGAATAGCTCGGGGTCTAGGTCGCGATGGGGGTTTTTTGGGGGTGGTAGTGGTGATGGTGGTGGTGGTGGCGGTGGTGGTCCAGGGGGAGGCCCGAGGGGATTTGGGCCGAGGAAGATTGGTCGAGTGGATGATGTTCGTGGGCCGGAGTGTAAGAGCTGTGGATAGAGGGTGTTTTATGCAGGGGATAGGTTTATGGGGGTGTGGGGAGTTTGATATTAGCATTGGGTGTACCAATTTGATTATTGTTTCCTTGACGATTTGGACTTTGGCGTGGGGTAGATACTGGATGATGTGAGGATGTTGAGTAGATCTATGGACCTGGATCGAAGACAGATGGGATGGCGGTTTGATATTGATATCAACATCACGTGGGGATTTCTCCGCAAACATACCCCCCTCCCCGCCCCCGCAATTCCACTCTTTCTATCCATGATGTATATGTTCCATTCTACTTGTTTACACCACCAACAGTCACCAGTGGAATCTGTATAGTACTTACTCCATCCCATTCCCCAAACTCACACTCAGCATCAAATTAACAAGCACAGCATCCATCTCCAACCCAACCCACATTCTCAACTCTCACCACCACCACCACCACAACCAAACCAAACATAACCATGCCCCCCGCAACCCCCCCAACCGACTCCGACTGGAAAGCCCTCATCACCACAACCCTCCAACAGCTCCAATCCACCACCACCACCACCAGCTTCCCAACCTACCCGCTCCCCGCGCACCCCAGCCTCACAATCGACCACACCCAACTGTCCCCGACCGCCAGCCCCACGCAAATCGACACCCTCTGCACCGAAGCCCAACGCCACCACTTCGCCACCGTCTGCGTGCGGCTGCCCTACGTCGCCCGCGCCGTGCAGAACCTGTCCGGCAGCAGTAGCGGCAGCAGCTCCCCCCAAACCACCCCAGACAAGCCCGCGCCAACCCCCGGCATAGCCTGCGTAATCTCCTTCCCGCACGGCACGGACCCGACCGCTTCCAAGACGCACGAAGCCGCCTCCGCCGTCGCCGCCGGCGCCACCGAGCTGGACATGGTGCTGAACCGGCCCCTCCTGCAGGCGGGGGAATACACGGCCGTGTACGCGGACATCCGGGCCGTGCGGACGGCGATCCCGGCGGACGTGGTGCTGAAGGTCATCCTGGAGACGGGGCGGCTGGCGGGGACGGAGGAGGTGGTGGCGGGGAGTGTGGTTGCTTGTCTGGCGGGGGCGGATTATATCAAGACGAGTACGGGGCTTGATGGGCCCGGGGCGAGGGTGGAGGATGTGCGGGTGATGCGGTGGGTTGCGGGGAAGATGGGGACGGGGACGAGGGTCAAGGCTAGTGGTGGGGTGAGGGGGGCGGAGGACTGGAGGGCGATGGTGGAGGCCGGGGCGGAGAGGGTGGGGAGTAGTTCGGGGGTGGGGATTGTGGTGCAGTTGGCTGGGAATAAGGAAGGAAAAGAGGGGGAGGGGGATGGGGAGGAGGAGGGGGGGTATTGAGGTGATTTGGTTGTGGGAATTCGTGTTATGGTTATTGCTGATATTCGAATTCTTGGGGTGTGGTTGTTACCCTGTCATCAGTTTGATATACCTATCTGCTTCTGGGGTGTTCTCATACAAGTTCATTCAGGCTGCATACAGCTACATATTCAAACGGTATAAACAACTCATCGTAAATCAAATAAGCTAAAAACAGAGTCGTCGCTGAGATACATATGGAACAAATCAGCACATGCAGGAAATCCACACAAACAAAAACAAAATGTGGGATGCGAGATGAGTTTTGGTCCTCCCTGCGATGGATAGGGGCTGCACGCCGGACTTGGCCCCAACCGGGGTGGAAGATACACTATATGGGAACAAAGGGGATTCAAATGTCGAATGTCGAAGGCCGAAGCGGAGGTATATAGATGTCGAGGAAATTTCGGAAGTCCCTGCTATCGACGGGATTGAGCTGGAAGATGTGCTGAAGGGGCAGGCTGAGTGTATGCCGGGAGAGCGGAACCATGATATACCCGACAGCATCAATAGCTGTTCTTCCTGCGGCACGTACGAGACCACACCACAAGAGCACACGGCAAACCGACAAAAAACCCCCAACCCACCCACCCCCACAACTCAGCTCAACTCTACCACGCATTCCGATCCCAATTCGGATCTGTTCCCACAAATCAGCAAACCAGTTTCACACACAACCCCACCATACGTAACCATATACGAAAATACATACCCTGCACAAAACTCGCCAGCACCTTACTCCCCGTCTGCAGCAGCGGATGGCCGGCCACGATCTGCAGGAACCGCTGCAGCCCCTCGCGCCGGTGCTCGATCACGTCGTCGCTGAACCGGTTCGTGAACACCTTCCCCGGCAGCGGGGGGATGGTGACGCGCGTGCTCTCGCGCTCCAGGGTGTCGCGGAAGTACTCGAAGTCGGAGTAGCGGCGGCGCACGACCGAGTGCTTGAGCTTGAAAGCGGGGATGTTGGTGCGGCACACGATCTCGTACGAGGTGTACATGTTGCGCGAGGTGCCGTGGGTTTGAGGGTTTCGGACCTGTGTTTTGGGAGGTTGAGACTTAGTTGAGATGGGAGAATTGGGATTGAGTAGGTGGTGAATGAATGTAGTAGGCTTTGGGAGGTATGGCATGGTGTTCTTGTGTCTCGATGGCAGCAAAGCGTACCTCAATCTCCAGGAAATTCTCCGGAGGTCCGTAGATCTCGTCGAAGGTTTGTTGACGGGATTCGGGAACGGCCTGCATGGTGGATGGATTGTATCTCGTGGAAATTTGTCGCAAATGATAACGACAACAAAACAAAGCGAGTGTGCGTGCGCTTGTGCGTGGACGTGGACGTGGACGTGGACGTGGGCGTGGGCTGGGCGGACTCCGGGCTGGTGTCAAGTGGGCGGGGAGCGGAGGGGAGATTCCAAGGACCGCGGGGGAAACGCTGGCGATTGTTTGTATGAGGTCGGGTCCCGAAAGATACTGACAAGACACTACTCGGTCAGGATTGTTCGGTCGGCTTAAAGTCAACGAGTGTCGCGTGCCGCTGTCTTCATGGACCAGACCAGCAACTTGCAGCTTTTTGGTGGGGATCGGAGAAGGGAGAAGAGATGACGACGAGGTGAGGGACGGACAGAACCGATAAGAAGGCGGGCGGGTGGGATTAATCTAGTTTAGCTTCAACTCGGCATCTTGACTTCAATCACTTCCCCGGGCCTTTGTTTATCCTGTCCGCTGTCAAGATTCTGTACACAACAACACCACATACATAGTACCCATTCCATTGCTCATTACAGCTTGGTCATCTAACCAGACAACAGACAACAGACAAATAGATGATACAAGATTCCCTTTGATTGGTCTAAAACACCGTAAACACGATGCCCTCATGAACAACAGAAACACAAGCAAAGAAACAAATGCCAATTTCCCCATATGAACCGTTTGCAGCAAGGCAGAAAACATGAACCCCGACGTGGACGAAAGTAAGAAAGCACATGTGATACATAAATACTACCAGTGATCAAAGGCCCGTGACCACCCAGGGCCACGGACATGAAGCAGTTAGAAAAAAGAAGCCCGGTTGAGAGGGAAATGAAAGGCCAACGGTAAGGATATCACTCCTGTCGGCTGCGCTTGGCGCCGTGGGGATTCCATGACCCATCGCCGCCTTGAGCGTTGGGGAAGAAGCCCTGGTTGAACGCTGGATTGGGGCCTTGGAAACCGCCTTGTCCTAGTAAGAATTCCCCCGGTCAATAAGGTTACGCAAGCACACCAGTCAAGAACTTCGAGACATACCCTGCATACCCATATTTCCACCCATTCCGCCCATCATCGGATTCATTCCCCCGGACATCGGGTTCATCCCCATGGCGCCCATAGGATTCATGGCCGGCATACCCATCATGTTGGCACCCGCCATGCCGCCGCCCCGGCCGCGCATGCCACCGGGGCCGCCACGCATGGCACCACCCATCATCCCACCGCGGTTGTTGAACCCAAAGTTCTGCATCCCCATCGGGTTGTTCTGCTGGAAGCCTCCGACCATCGGCTGCTGGAAGCCACCCATGGGACCCTGGAAGTTGCGGTTCCCGCCAAAGCTGTTCATGTTGTTCATGCCACCCCGGTTGTTGAACCCGCCCCGGCCGCCTCGGAAGCCACCACCCATGTTGTTCATCCCGAAGTTCATGTTTTGGTTGGAAGAGTTGAAGCCGCCGGACATCGATCGCGACTGGTTGTCCTTGCGCATGGGCGCATCCTTGGGCAATGTGCGGAAAGGGTTGGGCTGGGGACTAGTATAGACGACCATGTGCTTGCGTCCGGCCTGCCCCGACGTGGCGAACGACTCGATCTTGTGTTTCACGGCAGTGGCCGCCTGGAGGGTCGTGAACTCAACGAATGCTTGTCTAGAAGAGGATCAGTATCAGTGCCATCCCCAAGGACCTAGTCATAGAGGCAAGCCTACCCTTTGCTTTTACCGTTCACCTTGTGCTCGCTGAAAGTCACGTCCTTCAACTCATCCTCGCTGCCGGCCTGAGCCACCCAGCCGCGAATGTCATCGTCCGTGGTCCACCAATACAGATCCGAGATGAGAAGAGCAGGTGTCGCATCGGGATCCGTCGGACGATCATCATGTTCCTTGCGCTTCACACCTTGCTGGGGAACCGGAGCGTGGGTCTGTTGGGGGGCGGCTGTTCCATGTGCTACGCTCTCGGTGCTGCTGGGCGCAGCCCCTTCACTTTCCTGCTTCAGGGTTCCTTCCGATGAGCCATCGCCCTGAGCGACGCTGTTATTCTGCGTGGCGTCCGACGCGTCTAGAATGAGCTCCGTGTCCTCGTGCTTGATGTCATCGCCCTGGTCGTTAGCATTGTAGCTCCCGCCGTCGCCATAGATGTCAATGTCGAAGTTATCATCCTCAGTGGCCATTGTGATTTAGTTATGACTCGGTCTTCTTGCTCTCAAGGCAGTTTCTTGATTTGGTTTGCGTGAGGGAAGATACAGTTTCTGTTTTTTTTTTTCTCTTTCTTCTTGGCTTTCAGTTTCGGGGAATCAAGTGAAAATACATGTCTGCAGACACACCAGGTCAATTAGCAAAAGGAAGATTGATCGAACGGTGATCGGACGGTGCGAATACTGAAGAAGCCGCGGCGGCAGCTGGGTCATTTGTCGCCCAGAAAGAAGATCCATGTTTTCAACACTCTTAAAAACAACACGGGGGGTGCAGGGCGGCAATGATGTCCAACAGGAAACAAGAAAAAAAAAGGCTCGATGATACGTACAATTGTGAAGCAAAGGCAGCTTCAAAGAGAACACACAGGTCTTTTCACCAACGTCCGAGTGGAAGTTGATTTGTGTCTGATAAACAGAGGTAGTGCTTCTTTGCCTTCCGAGTGATTGCAAGTACAGGTAGTGTGTGCGATAAGAGAGAACCTCTTGTGTCCAAATGGAACAACAAAAACTGAGAAAAGCGAGAAATGAAGAGGACGAGGGGGGATGAAGAAGGAGGGTGTGAGGTTTATTTCCACAGATGCGGCGCTGAGACGTGCTGCTACCACAGAATGTAGCTCAACCTTTAGCTATCAATGAACAGGTTCCACTGTTCCGATGAGAGCATACAAAAGACAGGGTTCGAGCTGATACTTGTGTTAGTAACACGCTGTGAGATCTGGAGTCAATCTGCCTGAACACGATGATGTGAGTCAGGAGGAAGCCCGAAACAAACTGCGCGTGAGCCTAGCACAAAGGTGGTGGTCCCTTGGTGTTGTTGCGCACCAGGTTGATAGGGTAGTCACAGGGTGGCGAGAGGGCGAGATAAAAGAAAGAAGAAGGGGGGGGGGGGCGATTCAAGAGGGGGAAAGAACTAAGAGATAAAAGAATAAGGCAAGAGAAGAAGAAGAGTCCTTGAAACGTGTCCAAAGAAGGGTTGCAGGTGGAGCGCGCGCGATAGATGGAAGAAGTACGAAGTAGGAGGGAGGAGGGAGGAGGAGGGAGACTCGGAGAGAGAGAGGAAAGAGAGGGAAGGAAGGCTGCTGCTGCTGCTACTGCTACTGCTACTGCTGTGCTTGCTTGTTGCTCGGCTTGTTGCTTGGTTGGAACTGCGGGCGGTCTCGAAGGCGCAGAAGTGGAGCTTTCCCAGCCCCGGAGCGGCAGATGTATAACTCCGCCCGCGGACAGACCACACGGTGGCACACACTCCCCAGACTCGAACTCCCTCCTCGAGTCCTTGAGTCCTCGGGTCCTCACATCTGTCGATCGCATTGGCTTTGGAAATTATCTCTGTTGCTAGATTTTTGTTTTTGTTTTTTTTTTTTCAATTTGTTATCATCTAACACTGGTGCAGAGCTTAAAAAGTACATTATTGGCATCCTATCGCCTCAATCTGGTCAATATAATATATAGCAAGCTGGACTATCACTGCTAAGAGCATTCTATCTGGGACTCGTGGATTACGTGTCGAAGCACACTAAATTTCCAAAACAATCTCACGCGCTCCGAAATCAGATGAAACAACGCCTTTTAGTGAGCAACTTCAGACTCGCGGAGTGCGCTCGCCTGCTTCTGTATAATATACCTCCAGATAATTTACCATAATTCGTACGCGAGTTCGTCATCCAGCGGAGATCTGTGAACAGGCCGACTGCGAGACATCGCTGCCATCGTCTGCTTGAAATCATCATACTCAGGCACGGGATTCAACTTGCTGTCGTAATTGCGTGCTAATGGAGGGGTCCCTTCGTCGGATGTGGCGCCATCGTTCCAGGTGTGCAAGGTGCAAGTCCCAGTGGACAGACCCCAGCCATTCCACGACGTCGCTGGAAAGGCACGGTTAGCTTGGTTCCCAACCGGTCATAGACATCAATGCATGAACTTGGAACTTACCCGCCACAGCTGGGCAGCTCGGATGCCAGCTCGCGTCCCGCACGCATGTCTTCCACAGCACATCGCTCCGGCTGCTACGTATCTCATATGCAGCAGTCGACATGTCGGGGTCCAGCGGGCGCGAATTGTGAGTGGCTTGCCCTACGTCAATCGTCCCCGCCAGCGTCGCATCCATGTTATACACGTACACCTTGCCGTCCTCGCTTCCGCTATATACGTATCGGGAGTTGGTGCTGTTGGGCGGCGAGAAATGACACCGGATCAGAGTTTTGAGGACCCGATGACCACGGTAGGTGACAACCGAACAATCGTGAGGATGAGGTTCGTAGTAGTCATCGGGGTAGGATTCAAACCGGTAGTCGAATCCCGTGGTAAATGTGTTGAGATCGATCGAGTCAAACTTCGCCGTGGTCATCATTTTTCGCAGATCCCAGAGCTTCATCGTCTGGTCCTTGCCGTTTGAAAGTACGTATCGTCCGTCCCCCTTGCTGTCAACGTATGTCAATCCTTCCGTATGTCCCATAAATACACCAGCTTCGCGCCCGTCGCCCATCGAGCGTCTGTCCCAAACCCGCAAAGTCGTGTCATCGGATCCGGAATAAATGATATGGGGCGAAGACTGGTCACCAAAGCAAACGGCATTCACATCATCGTCGTGATTCTGTAACCGCAACACCGACTGTCGTGTTTCAAGGTCATAGACAATGACTGATTGATCGGAAGTGCCAGCCACGATCTCGCGACCGTCGCCTGAGAATCGAATCGACCAGATCTATGGCAATTTGAGTACATACGATCTCATCAACGGGAAGTGTCATTCAAGCTTACACCAAAGTGAGAGTTCCCACCAAAACGCATCCTTCGTCTTCCGGGTATCGAGGATAGATCCAGGACAGCCGGCTCAGACTCATCAGCCGGATCCGTGGGCGCCAGGCAAACGAGATTCCGAATCGACGTATATGCTAGGAATTTGTTGTCCGGACTCAGACTCGCGTCGGTGATAGTCCATTGCCCGAATGGATACGTCACAGTCTTGTAGTACTTCCAGTTGAAGGGGTTGGAAGTGTCGTACATGCGCACTTTGAAATCCTGGGCACAGCAGAAGAAGAAGTTGCCATCGTCGGAAAACTGGCCTGAGTAGCAGCGAGAGTCAAAATGGATGACTTTGTCCGCCACTGAGCTGGGAATTAGCCCCTATACTCCGAAGGTTAGCATGTAAACAGAATGTCTTGTGTGGTATCCAGGAAGGAATACGAACCTGCGCCATCGATCGGATATCCTGCCTATTTGTTCCCGTCAAGTTCACCCCGAGTTCCCGCCACATGATCTTCGAAGCAAGCGCCTGGTTTCGTCGCTGGCGTCGATCAACGTAATTTGTATTGCGTCCAAAGTCGCCCGATCTCATCAAATCCTGGCCCTCGTCGCTGGGAACCTTGGGGAATTTGCTTTGGCCGGATCGCCGTGCTCGCCGACGGTAGCCAAAGAAGCCAAACTCGTAGTCGTCATCTTCCTCCTCCCCGGGGGAGGTCTCATGCAGCCCGTTGTAGTGCAAGATGTGCCGCAAGCCGTTGGACGCCAACAAATTCAGCAACCGAGCTGCAGATACTGTAACCATGAGTTCAACGAATCAATGAGCCACAGATCGGATCGTGTTACCTCTATTCTGTCGTACCCTCTGAGTCTCTCCACCATTCCCGTTCTGGCCTGGCTCGTCCATGGCGAATTCAATCTCTATATTTCCCAGATGTAATTCAGGATCTAAGATGCAACGAGGCAGAAAAGCAAGCACAAGTCAGTCGTATACTCCAAAACAATACGTTCCCAAGCTCAATGAGCTGGCACACAAATCAAACTAAAAGACTTGGGGGGGGGGGGGAACAGTACTGAGATTAGCACCATCGATATCGATGTGGTCTAGGTCGTCGTCGTTATCTTCGTCGTCATACGGCTCAATATCGGAATCGTCGTCGTCTCTTTCGTCAGTTTCATTGGGCTCATAGTCCATATCCTCATACTCGTCGTCTTCTTCTTCGTCTTCCTCAAGCCATTCCCGAGCCGGATGCCACCCTGAATCCGATGCTCCTTGGTGAGAGGGAGGAGAAGATCCCGGAGGGCCGCCGCCAGCAGCGGGGGGCAAGCCAGATGAACTCATTATCAGCCACACGGGTGAGAGGGTCGTGGTGCAAACAGTGTGAATTCAGCAAGGGTCATAGCAGACACCCTGCCAATTCACTGCAGAGCAAGACCAGCCACGAGGTTCCAATTGGCCGGCAAGTTGGTTTAGTGCTTTTTGAGGGCAGGCCGCGCTTTGCCCCATGCTTCTGGAGAGAAAGAGGGGGATGTTGTTTGCTCATTGCTGACCGACGCTTATCGATAGGGCGGATCCTCGGATATGGTTATGTCATCTCTCTCGGGTGGAGATTACCGGTTAACTCCTATCCCCGCAGGCCCGTCCATCCACCTAGTAAGGGGTGAATCTACTCTTCCTTCTAGGTAATATGTTTTGACTAGTATCCGTTCAGGATTTTCGATTTGTTACATGAAGACAAGAGAGAACTATCACTATCTGCAAAGGTATCTTAGTGGTGGAACATAATAAACATGCATAGTACGACAAGCGGATAGATGCAGGTGAAAAAGAAGCGGCGCATGACAATACCAATCGTAACCCTTTCCGAAGCATCAAGAAGCAGCATTGGCAGGTATTGTTGTCAATATTAGCTCTGTAGCCGAAGAGTGATTGGGCTGCCGCTGAGAATGATGTAGATATACGACCACATTAACAGCATCAATTCTACCTGCCCTTCAGTATCGGGGACGATAGTTGCGATCCAAGAGGAGACGATATTCACCATCGCAAAAGTGTCCAACGCTATGACAGCGTCGAACAGCGGGGGGACCACATCATCCGGGCTTGCTAGCTCAGGTAAAGTGCATGAAATCGAACGAGCGACGACTTTAGCGGTACGAGTACCGTCAGTCAAACACTTCCTCTTGGACCGTTGTTTGATGGCCATCGCGTGGAGTGCAAGAAGTTCAACAACTATGTGGAGCCGTGCTCGCAACATTGAAGTGCCTTTCTTCTTATCAGCTCGTTTCCTGACCAATTGAGGAAGACGCGTCTTCTGTGTAGACGGCTTGCACGGCCATCCCAAGGAGCGACGAGTGACATCCACATCCATCGATTCGATCAGGGTGCCTTGCTCGATCCCTCTTTCTGTGGAACAGTGAGCACATGAGCCACTTCATGGTCTATACGCGTGAAAGGCTAGGTGTACAAAAACATACCATAGAGGATCATTCCAGACACAGAGCTGTACATCACACGCAGCACCGCGTGGTCCAGATGACTGATTGATAGTGTCTTCTCATGTGGCATGCATGAGTCCGAGTTGCAAAATTCAGTCTTTTCTTGATCCAAAGATACCAGCCTTTGACTGAAAACTGTGAAATACCTTGTTACTTGGCCTGCGCGGCACTGATGTAGTCTAGTCTGTGCTTCGGGTGTCGATTGATCTTGCACCTTTGCTGGTAGGCATCTTGCCGGGGCGTGCAAGACAACTGCGGGTTCTTTTCCGGAAGGGTCTTTCGTCGAAATCACCACATTGGTATCAATTGAAAGCATTGGCATTAGAGTAGACCGCGATCTTGTGGTGCAAGGACTGTGGCTTTCGCTATCTAGCTTGGTTCGGCTGTGAAATGGAGGAATTGTGAGCTGACGGTGCAGCGAGGAGACTTCATAAGGTCGGCATTCTTCGGGAATACTAGAAGCACCCGTAGCGCGAGGAGGATCAGAGTAATCATTCCCAATATTTGTCGATGGCAGTGACCAAGTCGTATCGGTGACGGAGTGTGTCAGGGCATCCTGTCTATTCACACGAGGAGCCCGGTCACGGCCCCGCCAGATCTCTGCTTTTCGGAGACCTGCATTGTTGCAGGTCCGATCTGCACATTGATGACATTTTCCGGAAAGCGCTTTTGATCGTCGACATTGAGAGCAATTGTCAAAGACATGTCCACAGGTGGTGCACTTCTTCTCGGCCTGAACCTTCTTTGGCTCTTGGTGGAGCTCTCCTTGACCTCTAGCGAGAAATCTTTTCTGTAGCGATTCTTGTGAGTGGGGTCTTCTTTTATGTTTCTCAAGCCCAGAAATGTTGGTATGAGACTTGTTGATCTCAGAGACAGTTCCCTCATTGTGTTGGGCACGTGTGGCTGGATTGGTACCATTCGTCACCGACCAATGCTGACTTGTTAGACTTGTTGGTCCGGCACATGTCCTTTCTTCGGAACGCGGCCCTTCAACTTCTGCAAGATGTGATGGTTCATAATCAGAGACCACACCGGAGTTTGGGCCCGTCAGAGTCGCTGACGCGGGGTCGTTTACACCATGTGTCGCTTGATGTGTATGCTGTTTATAGTGATATCCCGTGCTGAAAAAGGTCGAGCCCGTATGTGTGCCGTTCCCAGAGGGGGACTGGCCATTGTTCGCCCCAAGGCCACTGCCATGGAATTGGAAATGATTGAAGCCAGAGCCACCACTGCCCTGTCCACGGTCGTCGCTGTTCCGGCGACTCTGGCTAGCGCTGGTGCTTGCCGAGCCAGCTCCTGCCACCTGACAATGCCCACACACGCACTTAAAGTACTCATCCCAGGAGCCAACAACATTCTGACACAGCGGGCAGACACTAGGTGGGGGCAGCTTAGTCTCAACTATATTGATTTGCTCGCGAGTGGCCCGCCATTGGAATCCGTGATTGTGTCTCAAGTGCGAATGCACCTTGTCCTTCCTCCTCGTCGTCCAAAGGCACTTGTCATCGAGACAACGATAGATAGACCGTGGGGCATGCTCATAGGCAACATGACGTCTGAAGGAGGCCCGCGTGTTGTAGAACTTACGCTGTCCACTAGGGCAAAGCCAGCAGCAGAATTTGCTTGTTCTTGGACCGGTATCTGCCAATCTCTCGAATATTTCAATTTGTTGCTGAATCATGCCGTTCAGTCTGTGCCAGATAACTTGCAGGAAGTCTTTGGCATCATGTAGCTGAGGGATCTGGCGTTGCAAGACGTTGTTCTGAACTATGTGGATGAGATGTTCCACGGCAAGCCTGAACTCATCCCGATATACATCGCTCGATGCCTGAGGCGCAGGCGCAGGCGCAAAGTATAGCGGATCAAACCCAGTATCCTCAATGTCTGTATTTGTTAAAGGGTTCGCGTTGTCAAACAAAGGTTGATGGCCAGCTAGAGGATTGATGGAGTGGTCGTAGAAGAGAGGAATGTCTAACTCATGACGAATGGCATCTTCCGTGGGACTAATACTGATCGAAGGAGATCCGAGAGAGGGAATCGACGAGGGGCTTTGCTGCTGAACACTGAAGTTAGATTAGGTATGGGTAGAAAGGTCTACTTGGGACAACAAACTAATGAATGTATTCCAGATGGTCCGGAGGGTCCAGTAGGAATAAGTTGACCATGGTCTAGATGATGTTGGTAATCAGGATAAGTGAAACGTATATGGGCCGCATCGCTGTTGCTCGAATCGTCGTTCATGTCCACACAGAAGGCTGTTGGCGCAAGACAGACTAGTGAATCTGAGTTAGAGAGGTCAATGAGGCGTCCTGTGAGACGGGAAGTTTGGAAAAGATCTGAATGGGGGATGGAGCAAGGCTTGTATTGATGAAAATAAGCGGTACCTGGCTCTTCACAAGCACCGAAAGGTCAGGAGTGTAGTAAGACAAAGGTAGCCGACTCAAATGGGAATGCTATATTGAGCACACACAGTCCAAGCCAGCTAGAATAGGTCGAGGATCTCAAAAGAATATAGAACTTTGGGAGGATAGCATATCATATATAAGGCATCACTGTTCCTAGCAGGCCGTGTCAGGTATCATATCATTCGAACTCAACACTTGTCTCTCCCCCCAAATAGCGGTATGTAGATTATCCCTTAAGGAAAATTCGAAATGCCATGACGTTGCGTGGCTAATTTCAAGCGGACAATTAATCTCAGTCCTTTAGCCCAGGGCCATCTCGGAGCCTTGCCCGCAGCGACGCCCGCTGGTGACCATTTGAGGAGAGCAATATGCAGGTTAACAGGCAGACATTCGTACCCCTGCTCAAACGTTGCCTAGACGTTTCTAAAAGATAAAAAAGCATGAAAAAAAAAGAAAAGAAGTAATCGGCTTTGTAATGCTTACACTAATGGTTGATCGTCGCCAGGTACACATGCGGACCTTCGTGCAGAGTTAAGCTATCTATTCAGAAAAATTAAATGATGAATTGTTCAAACACACTTGGTTTCTAATTAGTGAGCTTGGCGTATAGTTGAAGACAGCCATTGTAGTCCCTAAGAGCAGTGCAACAATATCTAGATCCTCGTGATACCCGGGCAAATGCAGGTTGCAGGAGATGGGCGGTGTTACAATCACCATACTTTGCATGAGCTCTGGTCGGAAATCAAAGAAGCACCGTGCGGCACACTTGTAGTACCCAATCAAAGAGGCAGAGCACAATCCAAATGCTTACACTGAGGGCCCAGACAACATATCCGGGACTGTGCAAAAGCTCCTATCAGAAAGTGAGGCGTTCAGGATCCGAGATCGAATTCACAGAGTGCCCTGAGCCTAAGCACCGCTTCACTGTCGTACCTGGGTCCAGAAAACCTTGGAACTCAAGTCAACTGATTGAGAAAGGCTGGAAGGTTGAGAAGAAGGTCACAAGTCTCGGACTCTTTCAGCTGGAGTGTCCGACGCCCCATCGTGCTGTGAAAGAGCGCTACTAGTACTTTAGACACTGCTGCGCCACTGATAACTGCTGCATAGTACCTCTGGCCAGAAATGACAATTACCAGCAATCAAGCGTAGACCTAGAATCAACCCCCAGGACATCATAGATGCTTACAGTCATAACGTAAGTCAGGATAAAGTAGTGGAGCAGACGGAAGACCCAAAACCTTCTGTCATACATAACAGCTTGTTGCAAGTGTGATGACAGCAGCAAGCTTTGACAGGTAAGCCTTTTTTTCTCTTGGACCTCCGACCTGCACGAGCAATGAAAAAGGAAAATGGTGGTCAAGAGCCTCCTCTTTTCTTTTTTTTTTTCTTTTTTTTTTGGTTTCTCTTTCCCCTTTGCGCCTCGGCCTTTGCTTCTCCGCTTTCCTTTCTTCCTGATTCGTACGGCTCCCACGAGCCTCATGACAAGGCACCGATTGTTTGCTTCAATGGCGCTAGCAAGGGATGTTATTGCAACCCAAGGCAGATTTTCCTAGTCTTTTGGTCCGACATGATTCATGTCAGCTGGGATGGAACCTGCACCGGCAATGATGTCAAGCCACCTGTGGCTGTGCAGCCGTCCAGGTCGTTCCGCCGTTCCCTTTCCTTCTCTTCCCTTCCCGTCCCGTCCCTTCCCTCTCCCCCGAAATCTGGTGCATGAGACTACAATCGGTTCCTGATGATATCGTGGCTATGAGACCATTCTGTTGGCTCCAACAGTATAGCTACCATGCTCCTTTGACCTGATTCGTGCTCAACTCTCCGACGGAAGTATACTAATCTACTTTGTTATCGACAACTCACCGAAGAAAGAATGGAATGATAAGCCGCACCATGCAAGAGGTAAGTGAGGCTGGTTCTCAGCCATATTCGTAAAGTCCTCGACCCCGAGCCAACATGTCTGCACATCATTGCAAATACCTTCGGGCCAAGCGTGATGATGCGATGTAACACTCATGGAGGCTTGTCGAGCATGCAGGTCCGGGCAGCTGTCACGGCAAGAGCAGTCAAAATGGGCAGGAGGCTGTGGGGTGTTGAAAAGTCGAGATAATCGCTAAGCCATGGGAGGAATTTGTTTATCCGTTCAGTAATCTCACTTGGGAACTGCCAGCTGACTAACCAGAAAGCATGGTAAAGCTGCGAAGAATGGTAAACTAGCATATGAGAAAAGCCTGTATACAATCCTAAGCCATATCGTTTGGTCTCTGAAGCGCATAACTGATGCCCTATCCCATTGGCTTGTTCGCTTCAGTACGGCATCTTAAAGGCCTAGAAAAATGAACAGGAAGTCTCGTCGGTCCAAACCCTCGAGTTGTACGGGCATTCTGGAAATAATTACGCACACTGTGTCACATAGCATAGGACTCCTCGTCAACCTGTTTAATGTCTATCAAGCAGAGGACCTAAGCTGTCTGCCCGGAAAACTTCAAAGACTGCAAACAGTGGGGTGGTACAATTTGTTAGAACGCAGGGGTAGGACATGTTGCTAGAAACGATTCTCAATTGAAAGATGGTACAATGATCCAGGTGATGTTCTACATTGTCTTCATTGTAGAGGGTGTGGTATATACACAGATCCTCGCCCGTCCGGTAAATCAAAGACCAGTCGTTTAGTGGGGGTGGTTCTTGTGGTGACCTGCTCTGAAATTAGCGCTCTTGTATCGCACACTGTCAATGAGTTTAGGAAACATACGGAGGTGGAAGTAATACTCCATGCTGTAGCCGAGGAGAAGGATACCGGCAATGGCGTGGATGAAGGCTATATGCCATGCGGCGTCAGTTTGATGTATCGTACAACAGAGGGTGAGTGGTCACTAACGAGTAGCAGACTGGTTCTTTCCGGTGAAGTAGCGAGCCTGGTAGCGTCCAATGAGGCCAGTGGCCTTCACCTCAGGGGCGGGACCGCGAGGAAGTCTGGCGTAGAAGTTCACAACACGGTCCATGCGGGCAGCATCCTTGGCAGCACCGATCGCCTTTTCAAGTTGTTAGCTGGGGTGATAGGGAAGGGGTAGGTGTGCGGGTAGTTCAGCCGAGGTGACCAGAGCAGAAAGAGATTGCTTCCCGAGGCTGCATCTCAGAAGGAAGGCAGACAACACGACGGTAGGGATTCTCACGTTAGGGGAAGCGATCTAAGCAACTATTAGCATTCAATTTGCCCAGGTATCATGTTGTTCTCAGATTGTGCTGAAGTCGGGTCTTACCTTGGGAGGGATCAGGGTCGAAAGACCGCGGCGGGCGATGTAGCTCATCTTGAAGGATCTATCCAAAGGTCACATCAGTAAAAAAGTTCAATCCATACCAGGAGACGTGAGATAAACAATGGGTCGGTCTCGGAACAGTCGACTTACCTTGACGCTAGCAGGTTAACTAGGACAATTAATACTGACAAGGAGAAGAGAGAAGTGCCAACAGAAAGCGGGTTGTCGGATGAGCGGTTCCTAACGCAGGGAGCCTCATTATCGCGCTAGTCCTAATTCGGATTTGTCTGAACAACCGGCACTCGCCGCATACCTCACCTTGCAATTGTCCTCCCGCAGCTGCTCCTCTACCTGTTCCCCTCCACAGACCACACACACACATATACCCATCATGTCGCTTGCGAGAGTAGGAAGGTTCGCCTGCCTCCGCGCTGGCAGGCTCGCCGCTCCTGTCAATGCCCGTTTTGTGTCGACCGCCGACGGCTCCGTCCAGACCAGCCCTGCTGATGCCCCGACCATCCCTCACAAAGACAGCACATTGATCCGCAAGGAGAGTCCTTCGCAGGCAATGGCCCGTCACCAGCCCGATTACGAGGCCACCATTGACCACGCTACTTCGTGAGTCCTCTTCCCTGGCGATCTGGGGAACTTGCGTCAACTGACGACAATCCAGGCAATTCTCCCCCGTGCCCAAGCGTGTCATGGATGGCAGTGAGCCTGGTGACACCGTCGCCGCTGCTGTTCTGTCCGGCGCTCCCACCGATCTGCAGGCTCGTACCGTCCGGTGAGTAAGGTCGTCGGTCGCCGTGCTCCAGCGCACTAATTGGATACAGGATCTACCGCCCCACGAAGCCCGCTACTCAGTCTGGAACCTGGCACGGTCACCACTGGAGAATGGATTGGGATATCTTGCAGAAGGGTCACCGGTGGGAGAACCCTCTGATGGGCTGGCAATCTTCCGCCGACTGCATGCAGGGTACCAACCTCAAGTTCAAGACCAAGGAGGACGCCATCCTGTTTGCGCAGAAGCAAGGTTACGAGTACTTCGTTCAGGAGCCCAATGAGCGCCGGTTCGTTCCCAAGTCGTACTCCAACAACTTCCTCCACGAGCCGAAGAAGCTCAAGCACATCAAGACCAAATAAATTGAGTTATTCTTCGCGTCTCGTGTACATAAGTGCAGGCTTTTGTTCTAGTTCTGAATCATGCTTGGAGGTTAATTACATTGTTTTCAACACTTCAACCTCCTCACACTTTCAAGTCCATGGCTTGTTTTCGTCACCGAAAAGGTGTTTGCATCACTAGAGGTGGCTTCCAGAAGGCGGTGTTTGACATGGCACCTACTCATGGACCAGGCTAAGATACAGCCTTTTCAGCGGTTCCCTCATGGTACATATGCTACGGAGGTTCGAACAACCAGATGCTATAGGCTCACCTGGGTCACATCAGCATCTCAGTCTGAAAACCTTTTTCTCCGTATGCTGGCTCTTGCCCCAGCTTACCATTTTTGTCTCTGCTCGTGCTACAATTCCTTAGTACCCCCAGTGCTTTATTGCGAGCTACTGCATTGTATTGATCTTAATACGTAACAGCAGTCTGACTAGATCCCAAAAATAGATACCAACACATGAGTCTCTTAGCCGCACATGAGTTCCTCAAAGGTATATGTATGAGACGGAAGATATCATGTCAGGTTGAACAGAAAAGTCCACCGTAGCTAATTAGTACGACTCTAGTCAATTTACATACACGGCTGTAGTATAAAAAACAGTACAATACGGCGTTTTGCGTGGGAAGGCACTAGCGCAACTGCGAAACATTCTGCATCTGCCGTATGTATGTGGGAGCATCGAGCTTTATATTTTGTGCCGATATTTGGCATGAACATTGTCTGCCTACACATGGGTCCATTGTCACATCTCAATCTAGTGATATGTCACCTCATTGAGCTTTCCTGGGGCATTTCAGCAGAGATAAGATCTGTCCCGCTGCAGCTGAAGGATGGTGCCTACCGGCACGTTTCGATCCGGATCGTGGTGGTGGTGGTGGCTAGGAGAGATTTTAAAGCAAAAGACGCCTAGCCCACGGCCCTGGCACCCCGCCCCCCCACCTAAAATTTATTATCGGGTAGTGATAAGATCGAAAAATTGTCCATCTTTCATGGTCGACTATCTCTCTGCCCTCTATTCTCCTTCAACAATACCCCCTTCCCCCTCTTTTCAGCCTTCTCGAATACGTTCTTTAATTCATAATCATCATGTCTTCTGCTGCCAACGATAATCTGGAGGGTGTCGACGAGACCGTCCTCACCTTGCGCAAGGTTCTTACCTCCGAGTCCGAGCCCCTCGCTCGCCGGTTCCGCGCCCTTTTCTCCCTCAAGTACCTCGCTTGCCTGCAACCTCCCACCGAGAAGACGCTGCCTGCTATTCAGGCCATCGCTGCTGGATTTTCGTCCAAGTCCGCCCTCCTCAAGCATGAGCTTGCCTACTGCCTCGGTCAGACCCGGAACCCCGACGCCGTCTCGTACCTCCAGCAGGTCCTGAAGGACACGGAAGAAGATGCCATGTGTCGTCATGAGGCTGCAGAAGCTCTCGGTGCTCTCGGATATGAGGACAGTCTGGAGATCTTGAAGTCTCTGAGAGACAATGAGAAGGAGCTCGATGTCATCCGCGAGACGTGCGACATCGCGGTTGATCGCATTATCTGGGAGAATTCCGAGGAGAGAAAGGCCGAGAAGTTGAAGCCTAGGTACGTCTACGCAATTCCGTAGTCTATTCCACAGTCTATCGATTCTTCATAGATGTATTGAGCGCGCTAATCGTTGAGAAACAAATAGTGACTTCACTTCCATCGACCCTGCTCCGCCACTTCCCATGGCTACCGAGCAACCTTCCATTCCCGAATTGGAGAAGACCCTGCTCGACACGAAACTTCCTCTGTTCCAGAGATATCGCGCCATGTTCGCACTGCGCGACCTTGCCTCGCCTCCGGACTTGCCCACGGCCGTCGAGGCTGTCGATGCGCTGGCCAAGGGTCTCAAGGATCCCTCCGCTCTTTTCCGTCACGAGGTCGCTTTCGTCTTTGGCCAACTGTGTCACCCTGCCTCCGTGCCTTGCCTTACGGAGTGCCTGAGCGATCAATCAGAGATGGGTATGGTGCGACACGAAGCCGCGGAAGCCCTTGGCAGCTTGGGCGATGTGGAGGGTGTTGAGGATACATTGAAGAAGTTCTTGAACGATCCGGAGCAGGTGGTTAGAGACAGCATCATCGTGGCGCTCGATATGGCGGAATTCGAGAAGAGCGGAGAAGTCGAATACGCCTTGGTGCCAGACGCGGCTGCCCCTGCTGCGGTGTCTGCTTGATTTGATGAATTATGCGAACAATGATATTACGGTGTCGGTAAATAGTTGCTTTCGTGCCTCATAGATGTACAAATAAGGGCCAAAAAATAGACGTCATGATTTTCGCATTTTAGTTGTTGGTCGTCTCCCTGTAGAAAGTGGTCAATGATCCGGGACTATTCAGAAAACGCGAGCAAGGAATTGGGCTTACTTGTAACCACAAACACACGTGTAGAAAACTGTACTTCCTTCGTCGGCGCTGCGCAATTGTACTGTCGTGAAATACATTTCCTTTCTACCACACTGGGCGCATGTGTGCTGGGCAAGGGCTTCCGTCTTTCTGTCCTCCGCGGTCAAAGTCTGGACGGCAGATCGCTTTGCCCTGAGAGATGAGGGGAAAGCACTGGGCTTGGATTCGGACACGATAGTTTGGGCAACGGTGTCTGATCCACAAGAGAGCTGCGTCAGTGACATGGTATATTTTATATTTCCTTAACTTTGGGGGACCGTTCTACCTTTGTTCTTAGCTCCGCAAATATCGCAGATCAGAATCTTGCTCGGGTCTCCAATTGAGCCATCCAGCAAGGAGCCACAGTCAGTGCAGAAAACAAGGGATCCGATGGCCGACATATTGGATATAGGTCGAGTATGGGGTTCGAGGTTGTGATTTCTTCGTTAGCCGTATCGATCTGTGAGCCTCCCAACTTTTTTTTCTGCGAGGGAAAGCGGCCCTCCGGAAAGATTTCCACTGCACGGACCACTTTCCAAGGCCAGCAACTACATTAGTCCCGGGCGGTCAGCAGCGGCAGCGGCATGAGAACCGTGCCTGGCATTAATTATTGCATCAGTTTGTATTGCGATCTGTTGAAGTAAACCCATCTTCCTTTTTTTGGAATGATCCCTCATTTCCTTGACAGATAGCCATGTCTCTGGATAGAGCATGTCTTCCTCCGCTGTTCTAACCCTCCTGTCACACCGACCCCTATTTCCCACTCGGGTATACCGCTGCTATGGCTCAAAATTGGCACCCGGCCGTTCAGGTCGTCATCAATGGCCATCCACAGGCGCAGCCTCTGGGCCCGAATGGGCAAGTTCGGGCTTGGAATAGGCCTTTGTATGTGAACGAAGCTCTGCAGTATTCTCCTATGTCTAGCGCGCCGATATTTGGGTTAGGTCAGTGTGATATAGCATCTGAGCGACAAAGGAGTTCAAACTGATAGTTACCCGTCTCTCCTTAGACTGCATCCTACGTCCTGACATTGGGCGACCCCCTAGTACCACCTCTATCAATCATATTGTTCAGTCTGGTCGTACTGCTCTGAGCGACCTGAACAACGAGATCCGATCGGGACGCGATGAGTCGAGCCGCCTGGAGACATCTCGGGAGTACCTGCAGCAATTGTTGGATGGTGACCAGCTAACGGAATTGTGAGATGAAAATGACCCTTGGTATACACAACAAAGACTCACTGGACTTCATAGCAAATTTAAACTACCACCTGGCATTGGAAATGTTCAGCCCTCACCATCAACTACCGTTCCGGACCATGTTTCCAGCAACAACAAGCTTAGTCCCTTTGCCCAAATGATGCTGGACGCCACGGACATTGCATTCAGATGTATAAAGCTCAAGCATATACTCAATCGCAATACGCGCTCGTACTGACAGTCATCAGATCCAACCTCGGACGACATGAAGGTCTCGCAGAAGCCTACGTCCCGGAAAGAAAAGACACCTCTCACAAATAAACCAACCCCTCCTCCCCAGAATCGGCAGCTTTCTCAAGCCACTCAGCTCTCGGTAGTCATTCCCGTGAAACCGCTGCCACCTCACACCGACAATCATACTGCCTCAAAGAGGCGCAAACTCAATGCAGATGGGGGTGATAATATTGGATCAATCCGGTTGAAGGACCAGAAAGAAGAGGCGGATGCGGCTCTTGTCAAGCTCCAGGATCTGTTCCAGGAGATATTTGAGGCAGAGGATCAGCTTGATCCGGGGACATTGTCAGAGGGGACTACTGAGCAGTGCAACTCGATGTTCGTCGCAGCTCACGCGCTGGACGTGAACGGGCTAGTTCTGTCCTCAGATACTCATACGCGGCTGCAAAAGGCTATTAAGAAGGTCATTAGCTTCAATCGGCTTCAGGATATTCCTTCAGAATATCTGAACAGGGCCCAGAAGCTCTGCGAAAAGCCCATCATTGCTGCGCAATCGCTTGATTTGAGACTAGACGATCCGTCAAGTGAGTCAGACACTCAGAACTTTCTTAGAAAGCTGGATGATATGTACAATGCATTGTCCACGGTGGGAACTTTGCTGCAGACCATGTCTGGTTCTCAAACGGAGCGGGAATTATGCCCAGAAGACCTAATCGAAGCAATCCCCAACGTCTTCAATCAGCTTTTCGATCACTGCGTTATTCCTGCCGTTCAAGCACGTCCTGGGGGCAAAGATGCGAAGTACTTTGAATTCTTTTCATCGCAGAAACGGGTGCTCAGCGCGCTCATTCAACACAGCAAGAAAGTCCTTGCCCTTTTCGCCAATTTCCTCGCTCGCATTGAAGTGTCGGAAGGGACAGTCAATGCAGCGGAGTACTTCGCAGCCAAACTGATCTTCGTGGAAAATGCTCATACTGAAAAAGACTCCACTGTCGGCTATCAGAAGTATGAGTCGGTCAGGCGGGGAGCAATGGACGTTCTGGCAAAGATATTCTCGAAGTATCCTGCCCAGCGGCCGTATATTCTAGATGAGATATTGGTTTCTCTAGAGAAACTCCCTTCCACGCGACAGAGTGCCAGGCAGTTCAAGCTTGCAGATGGCAAGAATATTCAGCTTCTCACTGCATTGGTGATGCAGCTGGTGCAAACGACCGCTTTAGACGTTCCCAGCTCCAAGTCTTCCAGGATGAAGCAGAAGCTGCCAGGGTTGACTGATAACGACGAGGACGAGGACGAAGACGAGGAGCGTTCAGGAGGCGGTCAGGAAGATGATGATCAGGATTCGGATGTGTCTCTGGAGCGTCTTGCAACGAAAGTCAATCGCTTATATGATAACGCCGTCCGAAGTGCTCAATATATCGTGAAATTTATCGTACAACGGGCAATGACTTCTACCAAGACTGGGGACCAACCATATCGGAATATCTTCGACCTTTTCACTGAGGACTTGATTAGCGTCCTGGGCTCTACAGATTGGCCGGCTGCGGAACTCCTTCTCCGAATTATGGCTTCTCATATGGTTGGCATTGCTGACCTTGATAAGAGCTCCGCGACCGCCAAGAGCATGGCGCTTGAGCTTCTGGGTTGGATGGGCTCTGCAATTTCTGACCTAATAGCGACTGCTCAGCATTTGCTTCCAGTCATGGAAGAAGCGGATAGTGGCCTCACCGATGATTTGAGGCAGATGTTCGAGGACTATTCGAATCGCGCTTTACACCCGCAGGATCTCGTCGTGGCCGAGGGTCCTTATCGGATGACTCTTGAATATCTTATCCAGGACCGCAGCTCAGACAATTGGCAGCTCACAAGTGCTCGGGGATACTATTTGGCGCAATGGGCCAAAACCTTTTGTTCAGTATACTACAACTCTGAAGACAAAGATGATCCCGCAAATGATGATGCAAATGAAGGTCTGGTGGAACTCCTAATGAGGTCGATGTCTGACCCGCGGTGGCTCGAAACTCATCGGTGAGGGACTCATAAAAGGCACGCATTTGACGAGGGCGTATCGCTGACTTTCCTAGACACTTTGACAACATTCCTACAGCACATGGTCGATTTTCTTACATGATGACAGTCTTGAATTCGGGATTTTGTAAGGCATTCGACACAATTTTGAAAGTTCTACTCAATTCGATCGCCAGTGATCAGGCTAAGGTCCGAAGTCGCAGTCTGAAGAGTGTTATCTACATGCTTGAAAAGGACCCCAGTCTTCTCGACAGAGATACCTCAGTCATGCGTGTGATTCTGCGCTGTACGACAGACGCATCTCCGATGGTGCGCGATTCTGCATTGTCTTTGATCGCCAAATGCATGGTCCTGAAGCCGAAGCTTGAGGAAGAAGGCTGCCGGAGCATTCTGGCTTGTGCTGCCGATCCGACTGCAGGTGTGCGAAAGCGCTGCATCGGTCTGCTGAAGGACGTCTATCTGAAGACATCGCGCATTGAGTTGAAGCTAGCTATTGTGGACAGCTTCTTGCAGCGGACATGTGATCATGAAGAAAGCGTTGCCACCTTGGCTCGCCAGACATTTGAGGAGATATGGCTTGCGCCCTTCCATGACCTGATAGACTCTGCGCAAGACAACTCCATGCTCAAGGTGGGTCTTGGTGAGCGCGTCACTCTGATCGTTGATCTTGTTCAACGCAGCGACACCGCGCTTGAAACCTTGGGTAATTGTCTGAGGAAGATCATGGCCGACACTTCAAAGTCTGCACCTCTTAATTTCAAGGTGTGTAAAGCCATGGTCTCTACCATGTTCGAAAGACTTGTCGAAGACAATGAATCTGGCAAAGACTTTCAGCAGGCGCTGCTGCAGACAATCACTGTGTTCGCGAAATCCAATGCGAAGCTGTTCCGTCCCGATCAATTGGAGACGCTTCATCCGTACATTGGACATCTGGCTACGGCGGAGGATTTATTCCTATTTCGGTCTGTGGTCGTCATTTATCGTTGTGTGCTGCCGTACCTGTCATCGGCTCATAACACTCTTTTGAAAGAGGTGCAGAACGATCTGTTCAAGAGCGTTGCCAAGCTTGCTCGCTCCGAACTCAACGAGGTTATGGCTTGTCTTTGGACCATCAATGGCGTTTTGAATAATACCGATCGGCTCGTGAAGCTCACGATCTCGGTGCTGAAACCGATACAGCACTACAAGAACATCGACCTTTCGGATAGCACCAACAGTGCCGTGTTGGCTAGAGCTAAGAGCTATATTCGGATCGCTGGCTGCGTTGGAAGGCACTGTGATCTCGAAAAATACGAGCCTCATTTTAGAGCTGCCTTTCCATCTTGGAGCGGAGGATCGGTGGCTGGCTTGATGGTGGACTCCATCATATCATTTGCCCTTCCTAAGCAACCGCTTGAGCTAAGGGTAATGTCGCTGGAGAGTCTGGGATCCGTCTGTCAGTCTTGGCCAGCGCAGTTTGGTCGCGAGGGCCCGAGACACGTCCTCTCGGGCGTCTTCAAGGAAGACAACCCAAGTCTGCAGAACATAGTACTCAGGTCCTTTGCTGATTTCTTTGCAATGCACGAAGGCAAGGCAGAAAAGTCTGTGGTGGCTGCTGCCGAGCTTGCAGAACAAGAGAAAGCAACAAGGTTGGGAGGATCACTCAAAGCCAGCGACAATGATGGCGCTGCGGCATTGATTGCACAGCACTTCCTTCACAACATGCTTAAAGTTGCGCAATCAAGGCAGGATTCGTATGCTTTGACGGCGATTGAATTGATAGCAAGCATCAACCGTCAAGGTCTAGTGCACCCCAAAGAGTGTGCCGGTGTCCTCGTCTCCTTGGAGACGTCTACAGTACCAGCAATTGCCAAGGTAGCAGCCGATACTCACAGGATGCTTCATCAACAGTACGAATCTATGTTCGAAAGAGAATACATGCGTGCTGTCCAGGAAGCGTTTTACTACCAGCGCGATGTTGTGGGAGATCCGAGTGGCGCCTTGAGCCGCCCATACATCGCCAAACTAGCACCGCTTTTTGATATTATCAAGATCAGCAACAGCCGCTACCAGAGGAAGTTCTTGTCCAATCTTTGCTCCAAGGTGGATTTCGAACTCAAAAAGCTCAAGGTCACCGGCGACCCGCCCGAACACCTTTTGCTCGCCCGGTTTGTGGCGCAAAATCTCGCGTTCTTGGATTATGGCCAACTTGCGGAACTCGTGCCGACTATCGGTTGTATGGAACGCATTTTGTCTGCAACGGGAACCGTTGTGGCTCACTCAATTGAGACGGAAATCTTCGTTTCGAAGCCTGAGACGTCGACCGAAGGTGGGGCAGCGACGACTATGTCCGCGGCGCAGGGTCTAGGAGACATGGCTCCAAAACCAGAGGTCAACCCAGAGACCCTGCGGCTTCTGGCCACGGCTGCCGCATCCCTCGCCATGCTTTGGGAAGCCCGAACATATCTTCGCCGTCTCTACGGAGTTACAGCACATGTCCGTGACAAGGAAGCTAAAGCCGGGTCCAAAGAGCTCAACAAGTCAGCCACCAAGGTGCATGGAATTACCGGCGACAAATTCTGGGACGCGATCGCACGGAACATGAACTCTCTGAGTAGCGAGGAGGCTATGATCGAGAAGTGCCGAGAATTTGCGACCTTACTCGCGATTGACGACGAGTTTAAGGTGGGAGACAACGAAGATGCCGAGGGAGAAGAAGTCACGGACATGGATGATCAGGGAGCTGCATGGGCTTCCACGGGTGTGCAGAGACCCGCGAAGAGAAAGAATTCGACGTCCGGCCACAGTCCGGTGAAACGTCCGCGCGGGCGAAAGAGCGGTTCGGGGAAGAAACGAGCCAGCACTGAACCGGGAGAAGAACAGGAATGGCATTGAACATCAACAAACGAAGCCGAAGGCCCGTTGATCGGGTCGGTTTTGATGGAGGAAGTGTAACTGGGCTGTTTAATAGTCGAAAGGTTGCATGCATATGGGACCCGGACCGGCGTTAATGGGGAGGAGACTTTGCTTTGGCTTGGTAACTGAGCGCTACTGATGAACTTTTATACTTATTCCCATATTTCTGAACCAGAGAGGAGCATGCTTACTGGTTTCTTTTGTTGTTATCTATACATGAGTACTACTATCTTCATTGAATCTCGGAAGGGTGGGTTACCTCCACATTTCTTGGGTCGATGGTTTCTAGCTTGCGGTGGAGGAGGTTGGACTGCCGAGATATATATAGATTACGTTTAGCTCGTGCTATCAACATGTTCAAGAGCTACTTGCAACTGTTGGTGAAGATTAGTTTGTAGTGAGTGCGCATTAGACTAGCACCCGCTATTCAAGTTCTTCCATGAATCCATAGTGCTCGCTCATACTGAGTGGATGCCAAGCCGGGCCCTGCAGGCCGAGTGGGCCTCAGTCCTTCCAGTTAGCGGGCTTGGCTCCCAATGACGTCGCCTGCCACTCACTCACTCCCTCCGATTTTCGCGTGTCTCTTGCTGTTCTGTTCATTCTTCCCACTCTTCCTCACTTACGCTCGGTGGTGTAACTTCCGTCATTGCGTGTATTCACTCGTTCTCTTGGTGAATTTCTGTCTATTCTATCTTTGATCCCCATTGCGGGTGGTAATATTTAGCCCAGCCCTTCAAATTCGGCTGTTCTTCCTTGTCCTGTTTTTCTCCCCCCTACCGCTTCCATGAGCGCAGCTTTGCTCCGGCGTCGTCCGGACACGTCTTCGCTGCGGAGAATCGGCCTTCTCTCTCGTCGTTACAATTCCTCAAAGCGCTCGGCACCAATTGGCTTGGTAACAGTCCGAGCCCGATCATCTTTTCTAAAGCCTACCGCTCAATGTCTGTCGTCGCGGACGTTCTTCAACCCGCGGTATTCGGCCCGGCATAAGTCCACCACAACAGAGGCCGCGGAGGTCGTGCGGAGATCCTCCATCCGCAATGTCTTGTTCAAGTCGTTCGCATACTGTGGTTTCTTCATTGTTATGAGCGGTGCGGCAGTGGTGGCTTTCTTCATCTACGATGCGACCACTTACCGCGAGAACTCCAGCGCCTCGGATGTCCCGGTCTCGGAATTGGCCCTGAATCCCCGACGGGGCGGCCCTAAGAATCTGCCCATTGCCGAGGTCTTAATCAGTGACAATGACTCGGACGACCGCTTGGCAAACCAAGACAAGCCTAGGTTGGTGGTGTTGGGAACGGGCTGGGGAAGCATTGCGCTGCTGAAGCACCTCAACCCGGGTGACTACCATGTTACGGTCGTGTCTCCCACCAATTATTTCTTGTTCACACCTATGCTACCGTCCGCAACGGTGGGTACGCTCGGTTTGAGGTCCCTCGTGGAGCCTGTCCGTCGCATTGTGCAGCGGATCAATGGCCATTTCCTGAAGGGACAGGCTGAAGATGTGGAGTTCTCTGAGAAGTTGGTCGAGGTGTCTCAGGTTGATGCCAGTGGCAAGGAGCAGAGGTTCTACCTTCCCTATGATAAACTGGTTATCGGAGTCGGTATGTTTCCGTTCGACTTGTTTTTGTGGTTGATTGCACAGACTGATGTTGACGTTCCCAATCCGCAGGCTGCGTGACCAACCCCCATGGTGTCAAGGGACTCGAGAACTGCCACTTCCTGAAGACGATCGACGATGCTCGCAAGATCAAGAACCAAGTTCTGGAGAATATGGAACTGGCCTGTCTCCCGACTACTAGTGACGAAGAGCGCAGGCGTCTCTTGTCGTTCGTTGTCTGTGGTGGTGGCCCGACAGGCGTGGAGTTTGCTGCTGAACTGTTCGATCTTTTGAACGAGGATCTCCTCCACTCCTTCCCCAAGGTTTTGCGGAATGAGATCTCCGTGCACATAATTCAGAGCCGGAGCCATATCCTCAACACCTATGATGAGGCACTGTCCAAATACGCCGAGGTGAGTTTCGTGCGCTCGACAATCGAACCATTGAACTTCTTGTGCTAATCACCTACATAGGCTCGCTTCGCTCGCGATTCCGTGGACATCCTGACCAATGCTCGAGTCAAGGAAGTTCGCGACGGCAAAGTCCTCTTCACCCAAACTGAAGACGGCAAGGTCGTGACCAAGGAGATCCCTATGGGCTTCTGTCTCTGGTCGACTGGTGTCTGTAAGTATCTCTTTAGTCCCTTGTCTACGAATGTTGGGCTAATGGCATAGCCCGCGCTCCTCTTTGCAAGCGGCTCTCTGACCGACTTGAATCCCAAAACAACAAACATGCCCTGGAAACTGACTCGCACCTACGCTTGATTGGGGCACCCTTGGGCGACGTCTACGCCATTGGCGACTGCAGCACGGTGCAGAACAACATTGCCGAGCACATTGTCTCCTTCCTCCGTACCATTGCGTGGGAGAAGGGCAAGGACCCGCAAAAGTTGCATCTGACCTTCCGCGAGTGGAAGGAGGTCGCCAGCCGCGTAAAGAAGCGCTTCCCCCAGGCCTCGAACCACCTCCGCCGTCTCGACAAACTCTTTGAACAATATGACAAGGATCACTCTGGAACTCTCGAATTCGGCGAACTGTCCGAGCTCCTGCACCAGATTGACAACAAGCTCACCTCTCTCCCGGCCACGGCGCAGCGCGCCAATCAGCAGGGCGAGTACCTCGGCCGGAAATTGACCAAGATCGCGGCTGCGTTGCCGGGCATGCAGGCCAACCAGATCGACTACGGAGATCTAGACGAGGCGGTATACAAGGCCTTCAAGTACAAGCATCTGGGCAGTTTGGCGTACATCAGTAATGCGGCGGTGTTTGACTTTGGAGGGCTGAACTTTAGCGGGGGCGTGTTGGCGATGTATCTGTGGCGGAGTGTGTACTTTGCTGAGAGTGTGAGCTTCCGGACCAGATGTATGCTGGCCATGGACTGGGCGAAGAGGGCGCTCTTTGGAAGAGATTTGATGAGTTTCTAGTTTTTTCTGTTGACTGTTATTGAGTTGATTTTCGACCCGTCCACCCATTGTTCAGGGGGGAAAGGGTCGACATGCAGATAGATATCTATGGACGACGACCTTAATTCTTTAGCTTCGCAGTGGATATTAGTTATATGCAATGACTTAATGACCACTGATTCCATTATCTTATGACCAGGCTAAAGGCCAAAGGCAGGCCCAAACCGTGTAGAAGTCGTGTTGTTGCGTTGTGGTGGTGAATGATGCTTAGAAAGAAATTCGACTGCGCCACGGGCTGAGGGGCTAACGTCATTATTCATTTACTCCTTCCCGACTGTTCCCTCTTCTTCTACTCTGTACTCATACTTTAATTGTTTAGCTTCTGCCTCTCTTTCTCTTTCCACCCCCCCCCCCCCAGTTCACCTCTCCTCTTTTATCCTCCCCTTCTTATTATTTGTTGTTTATCCAGACCTCTGTGTACTTTTACTTTTGACTCGGTTACGCATTACCCATACTTTTCACAGGCACCCACAGGCACCCACAGGCACCCACAGGCACCTATTGTTTGCGCGGTTAATCTGAGCGTCCATCGCTCTTGCTCCTCCTACTGTTTGTCTGCCGTCATCGACACTTCCATGTATCTCTAGATCGAGCTTTCGCTGCCCTGCCACCCTTCCAGGCTGTGCTTGCAACAAGCCAAAAGGACGGACAGACGGACGGACGGACAAATAAACCATGACTGAGGTTGCATGACTGGATTTTGGTTGCCAGAGAATCAAGCAAACACGAGCTAATTTCCAGATCGCTGTTCCCCGCCAAACGCCCGTTTGCTGGTCCGAATCTGGATTGCGACCACCGATAGATTGATCGGATCTCCTCTTGCTCCTCTCCTTCCCCTCTCCCCTGACCCCTTTCTCATTCTATCCCTCCTCGACGCTCACCCCTTCGCGCTTCATTTTGAGTCTCTTGGTTTGGCCTTGTCATCATGGCCGACGCCGCCGGAGACCGTGTCATGTGTCATGCTTGCGGCGGCGTCTGGCCGCGCAGCGAGCACGGCCTGATTTGTCCGCAATGCCAGTCGGACTTTACCGAGATTGTACGCTTTTACCCGATTCATTCTCTCCCCATCTGACCTATCTACTACTCATACTACGTATGCTGCATCAAATTCTAAATTAATCGGTCAACCGGTCGCAGGTCGAAATCCCTCCCGACCCCGATGAAGAACCGCCTTCTATTTCCGACCGTCCCGACTCTGCCTCCTCTCCCCGGTCTGCCGGCTCTCCGCGCAACCCATGGGCTGATCATAACCCCTGGGCTGCTCCCCAAGGGGATCAGGACCGTAACGAGGGTGATCAGCCCTGGGACTCCGGAAGTGGATTCCGGCATCGCACATACCGGTCCCCGGACGGTCGCTTCACTTTCTCCACAACCACCTACACGCATGGCTTTGGCGGGCAGTCCGGGCAGTCCCCGTCCACGCGGAGCACTTCGAACCTCGATCCGATGATGATGGTGCAGAATATGGACAACATCTTCCGGGGCTTGACCAGCAACTACCAACAACGCGAGCGTTCGGCCTCTGTGTCCAGCTCGGGGCAAGCCTCTAGCCAACCTCGGGGACAGGGACAACGTCTGGGCTCCTTTGAATTCAATATTGAAACCGGGAATTCCGCAACGTCCAGCCAGGATGGTGGCTTACATCCTCGAGACGCGGATGGTCCGCAGCCGATTAACAATCCGCTACGGACCTTGAGTGAGTAAGTTGATACTGCGTTCCAGTCAAAAAGGGAAAGGAGTGCGTGGCAGAGTGCTGACTTGACTGCAGTATCCTTGAGTTGTTTCGTGCAGATCTGGGTGCCAACGCCCAAGCGGCTGGAACTGGCGGCGCACGGGTGGTGACAGGGACTAACCCGCTGGCGATGCTGTCGTCGCTGTTGAGTTTCGATCGCCTTGGCGACGCGGTCTATTCACAAGAGGAGCTAGACAGGGTCATCTCTCAGCTGATTGATCAGACTGCCAACCGTGGCGCACCTCCTCCAGCTCCTGCCAGTGCTATTCGATCCTTGCCGAAGAAGAAGGTTGACACGGAAATGCTGGGCCATGAAGGCCGAGCTGAATGTTCGATTTGCATGGATGCTGTGGAGCTTGGAGCCGAAGTGACGGTGCTTCCTTGCAAGCATTGGTTTCATTATAACTGCATCGAGCTTTGGTTGAACCAACATAACACTTGTCCTCATTGCCGACGGGGTATAGATTCCCCTCAGTGAGTCACCCGCATTATCTGGTGGTTTTTGAACTGGTGCTAATAGTGTGTGTGTATAGGACTCAAGGAACAAGCGATAACCCGGTGGTAATTGCCGATAGTCCTGAGCCTGTTTCGCGACGCACAAGCAGTGCCGAGGCCAACCCCGGTAGATCGTCACAGCCGCCCCCAGGCGCTTGGCCTGAACAATCACCCTCCTCGTGGAGCTCGCGGTCATTCTCATCGTGGTCAGCTGCGTCGCCTGGTCCTAGCTCTGAGGCGCCAGCTCAACCACAGGAACAGGGACGAGACCAGGGGCAAGGTCAGGGACATGATCAAGGACATGGTCAGGGCGAAAGCCAGGACCGGAACAATGGACAGGACCAACGACGAGATAGCCGTGGTGAAGGATCTAGCACTGGCTCCGGGTTTACGGGCTGGGTGCGTAACCGATTGGGAGGAGGGGGCAGCAGCAGCTGACTTGGAGAGGAGGCACTTTTGTATAGACTTTGGACGACGACAGCAGCTGGTCAGGAGATTGGGATCCGATGCGACGACTAGCTTTGTTACGTAGTAACGACCTCACCTTGCTTGGCATTGGCATTGGCATTGGCATTGGCATATTGGGTGCGTAGCCTGTCGCTTCCTTGCTGCCTGATGGATTAATGACTACTAATTGACAGTCAGTCGATATGGTTGGTGACTGTTGACTAGTGAGTTGACTAATAGTGCGATAAGATTGATTGATTGATCCACTTTCCATCTTATCACTCGCTTCCTTCTCCTTCCCTCGCTCCACCCCACCTTTTAGTTTACTTTGGTTGACTTTGACAGCTGTTGCTTTCCAAATCCTGGTCTTCCACATCTTGCTATATACCCTGCTCTCTTCCTCGTTCCTCATTCCACTTTCACCTTCACCTTCAGTTCCAATTCCAATATGAAGACTCTCTTCAGGAATGCCACTATTATACCGGGAGTCAATCCTCCCCCCGCAGATTCTCCCACTTGTATGATCATCGAGGATGACCGTATTGTTTACGTCGGCACCGAGACCGATCTTCCCACTGACCCGATGGATCATGAGGTCGATTTGAATGGCAAGAAAGTCCTACCTGGATTCATCGACGGGTAAAGATCCAAATTCCCAGAAATCCCAGATCCCCATAGCTTCAAGCTCAGATCCAGACCCACAGACACATGCACCTGCTGCTGTTCGGCGCCTCTCTCTCCAAGATCGATCTCAGCGACTGCAAGAACCTGGCCGACATCCGCGCGACGATCGCGCGCGCCGCGGCCGAGAACCCCACGGCGGAGCGGCTCTTCTGCCGCGGCTGGATGCACAGCATGACGGACGGCCAGGCGCTGGCCAGCATGATCGACGACCTGGACCCGCGGCCGATCTTCATCGACTCGAAGGACCTGCACTTCGCCTGGCTGAACACGCCCGCGCTGGAGGAGCTGCAGGTGGCCGGCCTCCCGGACCCGGAGGGGGGCACCATCGCCCGCGACGCGACGACGGGCCTCCCGAGCGGCCTGCTGGGCGAAGCGGCGGCGGTGACCTACGTGTGGCCGCACGTGGCGCGCGTGTCGACGGCCGAGGAGAAGCTGGGCTACATCCGCCAGGCGGTGCGGGCCTACAACGCGGCGGGCTACACGGGGATGATCGAGATGGCGACGGACGAGAACGTGTGGGCGACGATGCAGCAGCTGCGGGCGCGCGAGCCCGTCCCCATCCGCCTGGCGGCGCACTGGATCATCACCCCGTCGCCGGACGAGGCCGTCGTGCTGCGCCAGGTCGACCGCGCCATCTCTCTGCACCGCGAGTACAACCGCACCACGTCGCCGGACTTCCGCATCGCCGGCATCAAGATCATCTGCGACGGCGTCGTCGACGCCTGCACCGCCGCCCTCCTCGAGCCCTACGCCAGCACCGGCACCACCTGCGGCCCGCTCTGGGATCCCACGCTGCTGGCCAAGGTCGTCGCCAAAGCCGACGCCGCCGGCCTCCAGTGCGCCCTGCACGCCATCGGCGACCAGACCGTCCGGCTGGCCATCGACACGCTGGAAGCCTGCACCAGCACCAGCAACCGCGGCAGTGGCAGTGGCAGCAAGCGTCACCGAATCGAACACCTCGAACTCACCCACCCCGCCGACAGCGCGCGCCTCGCCCACCTCGGCATCACCGCCTCCATCCAACCCGTGCACGCCGACCCGGCCATCCTGCGCGCCTGGCCCCGCCTCCTCGGCGAAGCCCGCTGCCGCCGCGCCTTCGCCTACGCAGAGTTCCTCCGCCACGGCGCCCCCCTCGCCATCGGCACCGACTCCCCCACCGCCCCGCACGCCCCCCTCCGCAACCTCTACACCGCCACCACCCGCCGCTCCGCCCGCGACCCCGCCCTGGACCTCGTCTTCAACCCCGCCTTCGCCCTGCCGCTGCTCGAGGCCGTCGTCGCTGCCACCGCCGGCTCGGCGTACTCGTGTTTCGACGAGGATCGCACCGGCACGTTGGCCGCCGGTAAGATGGCGGATTTTGTGGTCTTGGATATGGCCTGGGAGGCGGAGGAATTGTTGGAGGCCGAGGTGCTGGAGACTTGGTTTGCCGGGAGGAGGGTTTTCGAACGGTGAGTGGAGTGGGGCGTTAGGGGTTAGGGGTTAGCGGTCGGATATGGGTTGGATATGCTTTGGCTTGTATTGTAAGTTGATCGAGGTTTGGGGAGGGGATATGGTTCTGTGTCTTCGGGTGTGCGGTTGGGGGTTTTTGGGGAATAGGATAGGAGGGTACAGTATCCAGGATACAGTTTCAGTGCTCTCTTGGGTGTCGGGTATTATGTGTGTATAGTATGGTTTGTGGAGGGGGGGGGGGATATATCCTATGGTGTGTCGAATGACCTGCCGGGTTCAAGCAAGTGATAACTTGTTCAATTCCTGTTGGTACTGTACAGAACATGGACTGGGATAGAGAGGCGCAGAGTACACTACCGGCAGACCGGACTGCGTACTGTATACTGTAGACATGCACATAATTTGATGAGACGAGCATACTGCTATCCCGCTCCCTGAATCTGCAGCATGTCTACGGCACTGCTACGCTGACAACTACAGTCACTTCGGCTAGGTAAACCCTATATGCTTTAAACTCTAGTGCCCCAGGAACAAGAAATAAACACGATGCTCTCTCCATTGTGTTCCATTGTGTATAAATGAGTCAAGGTATATCCTGAATTCTACTCAAAAAAAAATAACAAATGCACCGAACCGAACTTCAGTCTTTTTCCCGAGAAGCTTAACTTTTTCTTTCTGCGACGAAATCTAAAATCTCAAGTCCCATCCGATCTTAGGACCCAACCGCGGCAACTCATCTGCCACACTCTGCACATCCTTGTCACCTCGGCCGCTGAGGTTGAGGACGATGTTCTCGCCCTTCTGCATGGTCTTGGCCAGCTCCATCGCGCCGAAGACGGCGTGCGACGACTCCAGCGCCGGGATGATACCCTCGTGCTGGGCGAGCGCCCGGAAGCCCGTCAGGGCCTCGGCGTCGGTGGCGGCCACGAACTTGGCGCGGTCGCTGTCCTTCCAGTTGCTGAGCTCGGGGCCGACACCGGGGTAGTCCAAACCGGCGGAGATCGAGTGGGTCTCGGAGATCTGGCCGTGCTTGTCCTGGAGGACGTAGGTGCGGACGCCGTGGAAGACACCCTTGCTGCCGCCGGAGAGGGTGGCCGAGTGGCGGTCCGTGTCCACGCCGTCGCCGCCGGCTTCGACGCCCAGCAGCTTGACCGAGGGGTCGTTCGAGAATGGGTAAAACATACCCACGGCGTTACTGCCACCACCGACGCAGGCGACGACCGCGTCGGGCAGCTTGCCGATGAGCTCCTTCATCTGCTGCTTGGTCTCGTCGCCGATAACCGACTGGAAGGTGCGCACGATCGTGGGGAAGGGGTGGGGGCCGATGGCCGAGCCGATGATGTAATGCGTCGTGTCCAGATCGACGACCCAGGCGCGCAGGGCTTCGTTGACCGCGTCACGGAGGGTGCGGCTGCCGGCGTCGACGGCCACAACGGACGCGCCCAGCAGTCTCATCCGGAACACGTTGAGCGCCTGGCGCCGCACATCCTCGGCACCCATGTAGACCACGCACTGCATGCCGAACTTGGCGCAGACCGTCGCGGTCGCCACGCCGTGCTGACCGGCACCGGTCTCAGCGATGATCTTGGTCTTGCCGAGGCGGCGGGCAAGGAGAATCTGGCCCAGGGCGTTGTTGATCTTGTGGCTACCGGTGTGGTTGAGATCCTCACGCTTCAGCCAGATGTTGGCGCCACCGCAGTGCTCGGTGAGGCGGTTGGCCAGGTGAAGGCTGCTGGGGCGGCCCATGTAAGGGTAGTACGACCGGAACTCCTCCCAAAACTTGGGGTCGTTGCGGGCGATCTCGAAGCCGCGCTCCAACTCGGCCAAGCAGTCCATGAGAGACTCAGGAACATACTGACCGCCGAACTCACCGAAACGAGAGGGGATGGCGGACGGGTCCCCGCTGCCGTTGAGGGCGTCAATCTGGTCGACCAGGCCGGGGCCATCGGGGGTGTCATCGTTGGTGATGACGTCGGTGGGCTGCGAAAGCGCCGGAGGATCCTCCTTCAAGACAGGCTCCAAGACATGGACCGACCCGGAAACCTGACCTTGGGCATCGCGCTCAAGTCTGCGACCAGTGACGCTGGTCAGGTACTCTTGGGCATGCTTAGCCGCCTGGCCGGCAGGCGCGTCACCCAAGACGGTGATAATCTGGCTTCCGATCACAACACCCTCCGAGATATTCTGCACGGAAAGGAAGTGCTCGCGGGTGCTGACTCCGAATCCGAGCGCGGTGGGCACATTGCCGGACCAAGTGTGGACACGAGACAGGAGATCGGGCAAGTTCGTGCTGAGGGATCCGGTAGCACCGGTGACACCCATGCGGGAAACGACGTAGATGAAGGAATCTGCGATCTTGCAGAGGAGCTTCATACGAGACTCGGAGGTGGCGGGGGCGATGAGGGGGACGTAGGACAAGCTAACGAAGCAGGGGACTATCAGTATGCGTGGGGAAAAAAAAGAATAAGGCACACCAGTGCAGGACTTCTTACCCATAGCTAGTGCAGAAGTCACGGAAGCGGACGGCCTCCTCTGGGGGCAGATCGACCATGATGAAACCGTTGACCCCAGCGGCCTTGCAGTCCTGGAGCATGCGCTCTTCACCGTACTGCATGAGGGGGTTGTAGTAACCCATCAACAGGACGGGGGCGCGAAGGCCTTTACTTCTGGCGGAGCGGACAGTGTCCAACACCCAGGGAATCGTGACACCGTTGGCCAATGCCTGAGTGTTGGCCTTCTGGATGGTCGGGCCGTCTGCGATCGGATCGGTGAAGGGGACGCCCATCTCAATGATGTCTGTGATTGACGCAATGCAAACAAATGGTCAGCGGTCCGCAATCGGAGCCAACGGGAAGCGGGGAGCATCAAGCTCTTACCAGCACCACCATTTTCCAGACCCAACAGGATATCAACAGTCTCTTCGATGGTAGGATATCCAGCGGTGAAGTAGGCTACCAAAGCAGCACGCTTCTCCTGCTTGGCGCGAGCGAACGCGTTCTTGATTCCATCCATGGTGTGGGTGTGGTGAGGTGGAGGGGCAAAACGCAAAACGCGGAGAGGGACGGAGGATGGGGGAAGAACGAGTGGCGGTTTGAGGGACCCGGGGAAAAAGGAAGGGTTTAAGGATAGGGCCAGGAGGACAGAGTGAACGGCCCACAATTGAAAGGGGTTCGATTAGGGGAGAGAAAGCAGGCAGGCAGCACGGCCTCGAATGTAAATTTGGAGGGGGAGGGGGAACTTGGAAGGGGCAGGATTGAGTCACTGTCGGCGAGTAAATCAAATCGATCTCCCTCGATTAATTGTCCCGCCAGGTCAGGTGATGTGGCGATAAGATAACACTCGGGTATTGCTGCGGTATGGGGCTGGTATGGTATGGTACACATAGTTACATGTATTACAGGCTCTCTCTCTCTCTCTCTCTCGCGCGCGCGCGCGCGCACGCTATCTTAGCCCATTTCAAGGGATATATAGAATCATTCAGTGATAAGGAAAGCAACAATGAATGCTGTAGAAAAAGTATGCTACAATAATGATATCTTTAGTGACAATAAGACTCAACCCTCACACCTTAGGTACGTTGATAACGGAACTCTAAAAACTTCTAAGTCATTTCAGGTGCTGGATGACCCCAGAACAGAAGAGCCAAGTAAGACAGAGAGGAAAAGAAAGACGGCAGACAAAGATTACAATGATGAATATTCACACAGACGCCAAAAGCTATGCATATATACTCAGCCTAACCCCATGTGTTGCCCCAGTCCGGGAGACAGCACAAGCCAGGCCAAACAACCATCAAAAAATAAAACCACAGAACACAACCAATTCCACACATTTTATCCTTCGCCATTCCGGGGGTTCTGTTACATCAATTCCAAACATTTTTCATCCCAACCCCTGCATAATGAAAGGAATGACAGTGGCGCCATGCTATGCCAGATAGTTGTACAACTCAGAAAGGAGTGAAATCCCAATGCCCAGACTGAATGCAATGTGAAATGAGAAAGAACAAAAGCAGAAGACACCAGATCGTCTATCACGCATAGATCAACAGAAAGATGAAAGGGGGGGGGGGGGGGCATCAAGACATTAAGATACTCTTAAGGAGGGACATCAGATCATGGACAGTGATCGTAAGTGAAGTGAGGATCCAAACAAGAGGCATATCCGTAAATCCCAATCCAGGGGTCATGCGCCCTCATGGGGAGATAAATCAGCCATGCGCCGGGTTTCAACTAAAGGAACGACAAGAAGAGGAAGGAAATCAAAGAATAAATGATAAGAGGAAAACATTGCAGGGAAATAAAATGGTATATCAAGTCCGACTCGAGAAAGAAACGCCATTCAATGCAAATCACAGCCTCTAGAGGTACTGCAGCAGGCAGCAACTCAATGCCCGGGGGGACCTGAGACAGAATAAGGCATATAACTGTAGACGGGCGTGCTGCTCGGAGCTCCACTGGCGAGTGGAGGGCTGAGCATGGAATTCATCTCCCAGGCCCGGGTGCTCGGTGTAGAGACGCCGACCTGGCTCGGCTGTTGACAAGCTGCAGAGTAATAACTGGGGGCAGTAATGGAGTGGTACGACTGGCTTATAGCAGGCAGACCATGTCGGATCTCAGAAGGGCCGGTCATTGAAGGGTCTCCATGGTCGGGAGGGGCGGAATATGCAGGAGCAGCCAGTGGAGGTCCATATGCGCTGGGAGCAGCGGTATCGGAAACAGATTGAGGAGATGGGGCAGTGTGAGGTTCCGTGCCGGAGTCTGAGGCAGCCCGGGTGCTCGCATAGGTTGAGCTGATCGGGGTTGTTAATGCTCCGGCGGTCGAAGAATAACTCGCCGACTAGAGATTGGTCTGTTAGCACGCCACATACACATGCACACGCACGCACAAGCATCTTAGACATCAATCACAGAAACTAATGGAGCTTACATATTTGCCAATGATTTTCTTAAGGGCAGGAGTCAGAATCTTCCATGGAAAGACCTTCACATCTTTCTCGATGTTTCTGGGCTTGGGCGCCGGAAACCCCATGATGACCTTGAAGAACTCTTCGCTGTCTGGCCTGGCCTTAGAGACAGTCAGAGGTCGAAAACCTTCAAGATTTCTTCGAATGCGATTCTTCTCCTCAACGGTGAATCGAACCCCGACGAGAGACTCAAGCAGGTAGATCGTATCGACACTGGTGACGAAGCAATCTTCCTTTCCATCCCAAAAGATGCAGCTAATGCAGATACTGTTAGGAGCTCGGTCTTCGAGAGAGACTGGCGCGAAGTCGGCGGAAATCGTACTGCCTCTCTGGGCACGGGTGAACTGGACTAGTCGGCGCTTTGCATCTCGTTCCTCCTTGCACCAGTTCTCCATCATGCTGTCCAAGTCTCCGTTCAGCTTCAAAACAGCTTTTGTGGGATACATGGCATATGGGTTGAAGGCCGGAGTCTGACCCATGCCACTCGATTGCTGCAAGGTCGAGGTGCGAATCAACTGAGGGTTTGCGCCGTAGTGGCCTGACGAATGAGCATTCTGTTGACGGTAACCGTGGCTGGACACATAATGGTTCCGATGATCGCCGCTCACGGAAACGATAGAGGGACTCCAGGTCGATGTCAAAGGTGAAGGCGCTCGGATGGAGGGTTGCGACGCGGCTGACATGGTAGAGTACTGGGTCGAGGGCGCTCTAGGCGAAGAGGCCGCTGCGTAAGGGGCGGCAAATCCATTCATCGCAGGCAGAGACTGCAAATAGGGTGAGTACGACGCTGTCGAAGCCGGCGATTGGTCTTTCGGGGGCAGCGATTGGCCAATGACTCGTTTTGGTGCTCTATGAAGGGGATCCTCCGGGTACAACGATGGCCCCCTCTTCCGAGCGTCGTCTGACGGTGGCGGGATGGCACCATGCTCATACGTGTAAACCCCAACTTGAAGGGTCGTAGCCGGGCAATCGTTCGAGTCCATGGAGACTTGCAAAGGAACTGCAAACGAGGGAGAGCAGGTAGAGCTGAATGGGGGCGTCTCGACGGAAAACCCGTACTGGAATGAAGAGCCTTGGAATCCAAGAAAGTGCGGGATACATTCACATTTCTTTGCGCCGAAGACGAGATAGAGCGATGCATAAGACGATTCATGGAGATCGAACGGGGACTGAATTTGAACAAAGACTCTTGTTCCTTCGGACCCTCGCTGGGGCGAGTAGGAAACGACCTCCGGCACCGGGCGAGACTCCCCCGTCATCATCGGTGAGCGGCCTTCTTCGTACGAACTGGCATATTCCTGGTTGTCCATATAAGGAACGCAATCCGACATCTGGCTGGCGTGATCGGCCATAGGCGATGGGACAAGTGGGGTGGACGTCACGTATGGTGCCTGACCGTAGGCCGAATATGAGACACCATCGTGTAAAGATCGAGCGGACTCATAATCTATTGGACACTTAGCACACAAGCTGTCTCAGCCGATCCAGGGTGAGCAAGACCACAAATCCCTGCCTGAGCCTAGATATTGTGGCCCAAATGAACACTTACCGATCAAAGCCGCCTGTGGGGGCTTCTGGAAAGTAGGCATGGATAAGATGGGGTCAGACTTGGCCAAAAGGCCGTCTGAAAATGTGCCAATGAAGTGGGACTCTTCAGGGTCCGATAAGTCCAACGACTCGTCTAGAATTAACGGCGTTTGCAGCTCCGGATTGAACTGTGAACCGCGATTGTCAGTGGATGATCGTATATGCACAGGACCGTGAGAGACAAGGGAAATACAGGCAAGATCCCAGCGCAGCAACAACAAGTGAATCAGAAATTATGAAACTGGCGAGGATGAGATGTGAAATGAATGAAGCAGGGCGCAGTAATTGGGCAGCGGGCGGGAAATGTCCAACGCACCAAAACACCGTGTGTCTTCGAGTAAGCCAGCTTGAAGGTGTTGCAGAAACTGCAACGGAACACGACAGCTTAAAGAAGCGAATGACAGCGAATTTATCGTAAAAAACGATAGATTGTCGGAAAGTTGCGAGGTAGCTCTCCGAGACAAAACGAGTGACGACACGAAGTGGCTGTCAGGCTCAGCAAGGAATACACCACGAGAGGCTTCGAATCAGCGATCAGAGTTCAAAGATCAGGTGTGAGACCTTGAAGGCTAGCTGCAGAATATGAACCGGCTTGAGACCACGCTGCCAATGAGTGCTTGAAAGAGCCTATAGGAGAACTATTTCCATCTGGGGGCGATGTATCAACCTTCCAATGCGGTCTGACCTGGCGAACTAATGGTCGACAATTCGGGGCGGGATGTCTTTAAAGGTAGCGAGTGAAGCTGTGTCAACAGAGCGAGACAGGAGCAAGCTTATTTGTTCGGTTTTCCTAAGACTGAAATGAGACTCCAGAACTTCCTGGGATATGGAAGATCGAATGACGACGATGGGCCACGAACTACTCGGCTGAAGAGTGCGATCTTTCCCAGAGACGAGGATCCGGCCCGTTGCATAGACAAGGACTTACCGGGGTGAGACGAAGATGTTCAGGTTGCGCTTGTGAGGCTTTAAAAGCGACGGGGGAAAGGCTGCGTGTGAATCTCGTGGTCGCTTAAAGCTTGATGGAAGAGACCTACACCATGACACGGTCAACAACAAAACATCCGAAACATTAGTGGTAAAAGACGCCCCAAGGGAGATGGGAAGCGCACAGAGTCCATCGTGGACCCAGAAATCCTTTTTGGAGATCTTGTGCACCAAAGGCACGACCTTGAAGATGCAAGGAGTCCAAAGGGAAGGGGACACGAAGGAGAGGGGATGCAAGGCACCACAGAGTCAGTGGCGAAGGGAGGGGGACTGGTACCAACCTCAACAGACCAATGAGTCGGGGAAGAGTAGACCCTGTCGACCAAGAGTCTTTGAATCCAGGTGATTTCTGCTAGTGTGAAATAAGGTAGTGTCTTCAGCCGAGACAAAGATCCACGATGGTGGTGTAAGTCCAGGTCCGGCCTCGTTGAAGGACTAACAGCGACAGAACGATTGGTAGACGAACAGACTCCAGATCCACACCTGAGCAGCACGACGGGGGAGATGAGTGACAAGCCCAATGTGCACCGTAAAATGAGAACGAACTCCTTTTTTCCTTTTGTTTTTTCCTTTTGTTTTCTTGGTTTGGCTTTCCCGGGAGAGGAGGGATAAGGTTGTTGACAGCGAACCGAGGATGATGGTGGTGATGATGATGAGTTACCAGGTTCGGATCGGTATACCTCCCGCGCAGCAAACGGGAATCGCTCTACAGTCCCAGGGCAATGAAACCGAGGCAGAGGCAAACGCAGGTTGATGCCGTCTGCACGGAACAGGGGACAGGATGCGATGCGTCCGTCACTCCAGATCGAAAATCAAATCAATGAAATGAGCTGAAGATTTTCCCTACGGGAATTTAGACCGCTCAAGTTGAAGGTCGGATTGGTGCGGAGACAAGACCCCCCGGGGGAAGAGAGAAAAACAGAGATAAAACGAGGGTGGTTTGTTTTGTTGTTTTTTCGAGATAATCAGCGAGCGCGTGAGATCGGTCCAGATTAGTTATTAAGGATGTCTCTGATGATGAATCCTATCGGTCCCTGTCGTTGCTTTCCAACAATAAGATTTCCTTCAATCGATCCCGTTCGTTCTTTTTCTTAGTTCTCTGTTTCCTTTGCAGCAAAAAGAAAACAATCTTCCCTTCTTAACCGGTCACCTCCGGGTGTAGCGAACGTCAAAAAAAAATAGGTCGATACCAAACAAAGCGAGTGTGAGGTAAACGTGGGAGAGCGAGTGTAAAAAAGAAACAAAATGATAAAAGAGCAGAGGAAGAGTCTTAATCTGCCATCACAGATCAAATTGACGAAAAGGTGGGGGGTGGGTTTAGGTGGAGAGGGGAGTGGGAGGGTTATGAGGAGAGCGGCGGTAGTAGAAGAAAGACAAGGGCAATAGTAGTCGTAGTAAGTTAGTGGTTGGTTAGTGGTGGTGGTGGTGATGTAGTTAGTGGTAGAATTGGTAGTAGCGGGAGTAGTCCAGTAGATTAAAAAAAGAACAGGGACGAGCGACAGATGGAGTAAACCAAAAAAAGATAGTAAAGAAAAAGTAGTGTAAAAAAAAAAAGGGAAAATCCCAAATAAGATGACGGCCGAGTACGAAGATGACGAGAGATATATTACTCTCGTTCTCTCTTGGTCCCAACTTAAGGGCCGAGGAAGTAGGGTAAATGGTAGGCAGGTTGGCAGGTTGTAACTTAGCGGTCGTAAAGAACGAGGGCCCTGGAGGATCGGATGGCCCTTAGTGTGGCGGGGAATGCGCTGATGAGAAGATGGGTAATGATGATAATAGTGACAATAATAATAGTAATAATAGTAATCATAAACACCACCCCAATCACTAACTATCGGACGGATTGATTGCTAAGGTTAGTGTAAGGTACTGACTGGAGTTTATAGAGTAGGAGATATATGACTTTCAGACATTGGGGATGATGAAGCCCGCTTTTTGTCTCCTCTTCCAGTGCTGTTTTTATCATCGGTAGTACCTTGAATTGGAAAGTACTCGGAGAAACTGAGCTGAACCATCATCACTACGCCCTGAGCATATGGGCTGGTTGGCCCATTGTTTTCTCAGGGCTCCATAGTGAAAAAAAGTCCCTGGACTGGTGGTCCCTCCACATCTCAACCGCTAACCGTTCACTCAAGGAGAATGGAAACTAAGGTACGGAGTACCTACCCTAGTACACCCTACCCTACCGGTACCAACCACCAACTACCGTCCCAAACTATGAGAGCAAGAACTATTTTACTAAGCAGCTCATTTCATAACTAACACCAACCACGCAGTAGTTTAGGAAACACTACTATGAGGTGAGGCTTATCATTCCTTAGAGACTCGGTAGAAAGGACATTCCCCCGTAGAAAGAAGCAGGAACGTATTTTGGCGCTCTTTCACCTGATGCCGGAGAAGAGGGGCCCAAGTGGAGGAAAAGGTGTTCTTGCTGAATTGCCGAAAGAGGGTTAGCTCAGGGCTAAATCCATCCTCCATCATGATTTTTATGACTTTATGATTTCTTTTTGATTAATCAATTTCTGGAAGGACTTAGCACCATCTGGTTAGGACCGGGGTTTCCATTACTAGCAGTTAGGTCAGGATTAGTCGGTGGTGAATAAAGCAGGACCCCCCAATTCAGTACCGGGCAGGCTAAGAATCTGGCAAGGGTGTTTTAGCACCAGCAGGCCACCGTTCAAGCGGTCCATGCCGCCATGACCGAGTGGGGCACCCCCCCGAGGAGCTACTGAGTAGGGAAATCCTTTTACCCCCCCCCCCAAAAAAAAAGAAAATAGATAAAAAAGGAAAATAAAAAAGAGAGAAGAGAGAAGTTGGACGGAAAACAAAAATGAGAGCGAAAAAATGGATAAAAGTGAATAATCGATTACTCATAATAATGCCGACTGGCTGTGGCTACTGCTGCTGCTGCTGCAAGAAAGCATGGTTGACAAGGTGTGGTTGACACCTATTTTTATTCCATCGATGCAACAACTGGCAATCAATCAACTTCACACAGACAATACAGCATGGTAAGGGAGGATTCCTAGCTTAACTTAGTACTCCGTACTGCTCACCTGGAATCGGACTCGGAGGTCGGGTCGCTGCAATAGATCCATCCTTCCATACAATACACTTCCTGGTTTCCAATCCGTCATCGTGTGTTCCTATTTGTTGTTCACGAACTTCCGACAGGGCAGCAGCCTTAGGGACAATAAGATTGAAGTGATTGTCGATGGCTAGCACCGCCTCCTGGCCTACTAGCAGTTTAGCACCCAGTCAGAATCTGGTACCTAGTGGCCTAGGAACTGTGATTTCCCAGTGACTAGCAGAAAGCAGGCATGAGGGAGTGGAACGAAGTAGTACAGATGTACCAGTAAAAAGAGTTTGATCGAACCTTGTTGCATTCGCATTACAGTTCCTCGTTGTTATTACTGGCTATAGAAGAACTGTCAAGAAAGCCAGGACACAAGCGCACTGCCTGCACCACTGCAGTCATTGTTCGGTGCTTCTTCGGGCTCCTATCCAGACTATTGGGTCGCTGGTGACTCTTTCTCCACGATGCTCATAGTCAGAAAAGGGTTTCATCCTCGTGGCCTAGAAAAAGGTCTGCTGCTGCTGCTTATCTAATGTATGTGTCAGGTAACTAGTTACTAGTTGAACATGATCATCTCCTGACCTTATCTCATTCGCCATGATTGCCATGATATCAACTTTGCGGATCAACTCGCCGGCAATGGCCCACTTGGAAGCTCCTTTCGATTCCGCAGTACCGTCGGGAGCGAATTGAACTTGACAGAGTCCGAACAGGATACGGGAGGCAGATGGGCAGATGGGCAGATGGGCAGATGACCTAATGACGACCATCCAAAGTCAACTTGGACGGTACTATCAGCTTCGCCAAGGCCCTGTTCTGGTGCAGGGCATGCGACCGATCGTGAGGTTCGTGAAGTGTAGCATATATTTAGCTCTTCGGGCAAATTGGACGGACAATAATTCAGTTCCCCACCTTCCTTCCTCTCTTTTCCTGTCCTCCCAGTCCTTTCCAGTCCTTCCCCTTTCTTTCCGACAAGGAGGGGCAAGAGCCATCATCATCGATGATTTCGAGTCTTAATTTGGACCAAGTTAGTTCCCTCAGGCAGCACCACTCATGCTCATAGTCTGCTGTTTTAGTCTTCCCCTTCCACTGGGGACTCCTCCGCCAGTGCCATTAAAGTTAGTCAATTTATAGGTCGGTAGGTAATCCACTAGGTGTGCCTAAGGTACAGAACTAAGTGGCATCTGGTGAGTTAGCTGCTAATCGACTAATGGCCCTCGAGATCAAGCCGGGTTTTTTACAACTTCAGAGGTCGGTATCTACTCTTGGCCGATACCCCGATCTAGGGAGGCTAGAGGACTCTACGGAATAGTCTATTCAGATGGCTCTGTTGAAGCTTGGAGTTTGAGACAAGACGGAAAAGAGAATCTTCTCAGTCATTATCGTCCCTAAAGTTTCCGTGTCACTATCTCATTGATCGCATGCTTGTCATCTTTTGCCCAGATGACTAACTACATATCCTACCATAACAACTTCCCTCACTAACAGGTAGTATTGTTGTTTGTCTAAATCGTTAAAATGGTTGTCGTAGGCTGATCGGGCCATGGGCCCCACCAGAAACGATCTGACTTTGAGAGAACCGAACCATGGCTGCCTTCCATTTGACTTTCTCCGCCCGCTGCTCAACTCTGGTCAGACCGGCAAGCCCTCACCCCTCATCCTCATCCTCTTTCATCGCACTCCCGCTAAGCCAGCCAGCTGCCTTGATTATCAGGTTTGGTCGTCGCTGAGGGAGACAAACACTGGGGTCCACGGTGTTTTCTTTTCGTAAGTACCCTGCCAAGTCTTCTGGAAAAGTCTAATTGCCCTAATCCGGAAACTCCTCCATGCCCTATCCGAACGCCATGGATGTAATGCAGTCAGATCGGTAGTTCGGGATTAGTCCACAATGTGGCAGTGAACTACCTAGTATCCTTGGGGTACGGAGTCGAGTATCCGGACACATTTGGCAAATCACCTTGCCAGCCATCACAAGCAAGTGGACACTGCAATCATTAGAAAAGAGATGGCGGGTGAGGCGCCTCGACGCAAAGACAAAGCTTCGTTTCTCGAGTGTCTTCGACTCCGAGGTGAAGATGGTTGAGTTGACCGCTTTGTTTGAGTGCCTTCTGCTGCAGTGCTGCAGAATATGGCGGGTTGCGATCGGGAGCCGCGGACAAGCAACTGACGGCACTTTCGGCTTGAGGGATTTGAGAACACAAACAACGACTCGAAGATAGCGGGCGATCTGAAAGGGCTAAATTGCTAAACATAGAAAGCCTTGCATTGACCGTCCGTCCTTTCACCCAAATTCACCTCTGCAAGGGCAGCTGAGCCATCATGATTGGGTGGCTGG